TTTGCTAGCCACATGTCTTAAGTTGCAAGGCAAGTTATTTATTTATATGCCCTATAGTAAGCTTGTTTTATAAGCTAGTTACACTTGGTTAACTTGTTGGCCAAGTTTCTAACCTACAAACACATCTAAAATCAAAACCATGTCTATAAAGCTTCTAAGAAGCTCATGTAGAAGATTCTATGAAATTAATCTATATTGACCTACTTCTACCTAATCTTACAAATAACTATTGAAATAGATGTATGTATTAGTAACATTATGTGTATTTATTAATATTATATTTGTACCAAAGTACAAGATACTCTAATTTATTTTTGTGCTACTTTAATTCTAAGGCTTCTTCTATTTCAAATTCTTAATTATTATCTATTTTTATTTTTTTAAAAATGTATCATTTATCTGCTTTTTAATACATCTAATATCTTGTAGGGTTCAAAAAATATTCATGTAATAGATGATAGATCTTTATAGACTCTAGTAGATATAATTAATATTCAATTGGACTGATTAGTTTGAAAATAAAAATAATTAAAGTCTACAGTTTTTTAATTTTTTAGAAGAGCCAATAGCCTTGATATTACAACAATGTAATTATATCTTGCCTTTAATATAGAATTATAATTTTTCTTTGTAATAGACATTTCTATTGATATTTTATTATTCTTGAGATTTTTTTAATTGTATCTCCATTATCTTATATACCATTAATAAATAATTTATCAAATCTTTTGCCATAAGATTTTAAACTTTTAAAAATTTAAAATTATCAAGTCATAGATGATAACCATGATTAGCATAAAAAAATATTTTTTAAAAAATATATTATATTATTATAAATTAACTATGTTAATATCAAAAAATAATAATTTACTAAATAATAATTGATAATACATCCCACCTTAATATAAGAGACTATTGATAGCTAAAAAGACCTATGAACTACCTTTAAAGAGAAAAAAGATCAAAGTAAGTATCAAATATAATTTATTGTCTCTTGGACTTTCTTAATATGTCATTACTACTCATATTTAAAAGGAAGAGTAATATCATGGATATAACTAACACTTATATTTATGTAGATAAGAGGAATTATATAGAATTAAATAAAAATAGATGAATTTGATGATATTTTGTAGAAAAGATTCATAAATATAGATTTGACTTTATACATGTCTACTTGTGATTTGTAAGTTGAAAACTTGGCCAACAAGTTAATCATATGTTGTATATATTGACAACTTGTAGTATAAGTTAGTCATATATCATATATATGAAACTTATCTTAGAAATTAGATACTTGTGAGAGATCTTATAAAACAATTTTTTGTAGCTCTTAGCTAAATATTAAATATGAAAAGAAGAGTGAGGCCTTTGTCACTCCTGTCAATGTCTTTCTTATTTTTAGTCTTATTTCAAGAGTCTTTAATCTTCTTGTCTTTGGCAATAGTCATTCTAGTTTTAACATTATAATATCTTTTATTAATTATCTATTATTTTTAATAACCTAAGAATGTATTGACTTTTGGGTTGTTTATAACTTATGTCTTTAACAAGATATAACTTTAAGTAGAGCTTGGATTATTATAGAAATCCTCAAAATTTTGACTTTGTTCTATGAAACATCCCTAATCAACTAATCTTTTATATCCTTCATATTTAAAGTAACAAGATATTTTGGATTCAATCAAAAGATTGATTTACTTATTTCTCTCAATTATACAACTTTTTGGCTGAAACATTGGACTTTATTATTGATTTCTTCTATAGATATAAAAATAATATTTTTTTGTTTGATATTTGTAATACATGAAATTATTATCTTAAGAATATTGATAAGTCCTTGAAAATTTGCAATAATTATAAATTTATTTATACTTCTTTCAAATATATTATCTAAAATATTTTTTAAAATATTTATAATAGATAATTTATATAAAATTTTAAGTTAAATTAGATAAAGATAATTTATAATCTTTTATATTAAATAAAAATTTCTACAAAAAATGGTAGTCAATTCTTTGTAAGATAAGAATCAATGTTAAAAAATAAAAAATATTAATTTGAGGGTGGATAATTTATAATCTTTAAAATACAATAATAAGAAGTAAGAAAATCGTTCACTTTAAACCAAATAATTATAAAAAATTAGGATATTTATTAAATTAGAAAATATAAAAATTACAAAATAATTTCAAAAATTATAATATATTCTTATATTATCAAAAGAGAGAAATTAAAAAATTAAAAGATAGATATAAAATTGAGGCTAAAATGGATATTCCCAAATATAAAAGAGCTATGAAGTTTTAAACTAAGATAGATTACAAGAAAGATGTTAACATGCGTAAAGAAGGCCACACTCTTGCTTATATATATATATATATATATATATATATATATATATATATAAATACATATATTATCTACTAAAAAATTGTGTGGCAATATCTTACATGGCATATGACATGTGTCCAATTTGTGATACGTATGTCTAATTTGTAAAACAAATTTTTGATATGTAAACCACATCGTCAATTTATTAGCCAAATTATCAACCTATCAATTATTTATAAATATATCCAATGTCTATAGAACTTCTCAATAATATATCAATAATTTAATCTATTTTTATTTTTTATATAATTTTATTTACTTAAGTATATATATTAGTAAATAAGACTATCCACTAAATCTTATATAGTCAAAAGTTAATATTATAATTATTAAAGTTAAATTATATTTTAACATCTTAAATTCTTGATTTAATATATATATACATAAAATTAAGTAAAATATAATTTTAAAGCTTTATTTCTTATAATAATAATTAGAACAAATAATACTTTCTTTGATTTGGGCATAATTTTTTGAAAAAACTCACTTGTGAATAATAAAAATCAACAAAGTCTTAATAGATATATAAATATATTGATGAATATATAAAGTATTAAATTAGAAAATTTTCTATAAGATTGATTGAAAGTAACGCAAGAACAGGCAAGACTATATTATTGTGCATAATAATTTTGAATAGCTATATAACTAGCAATGTAAGGAATTTGACTCAACTTATTGAGAGAAAATTAGAAGGAAAGCCATATTTCTACTTATAATTAGAAAATTAAAATGCTAGTGCATACTTGCCCTAGTTTTGGCTACAATTCAATTTAAGCCATAGAAGCTAAGTAAAAATAACAACTCTATTGCTAAGCATGGATGTAGTTGCACCAATTAATATTAGTGCTTGCTCAAAAGATACTTTGTCATCAAAAGTCTCTTCTTTTTTTTCTTTTTTTTCTTTTTTTTGTTATTACTAGAACCTATTTTTTGTTGTTTTTAATTTAGTTTTTTTATTCTGTAATAATCATTTCTATTTAGATTGCTATCTTTGTTTCTTCTATTGATAAAGAATCTCCATGCTTTAGCCATTTTTAGATTTTTAAAATCTTATTTTGGCCATGCAACTCTTTAATTTTGTTGCAATAAAGATAGTATAGAGTTTAGTAGAATTTTTGTGATAATAAATTAGATGCAATGGCTTTAATTTGGTTTTAAAATGTAGTTGTTTTTTCATAGGATTTTATGCATTGCAATAATTGAAGTAAGTTTTTGGGTGGTCAAATTTTAGACTTTCTTATATAAACACAAAATATTCATATGTCAATTCTATAGATGGCAAAGAAAATTTTACAATGAATTTCTATAAGATGGAATATTGATCAAAATATTTTAAATAAAGATCAATTGGCATCATTTAGGCTTTCTATTTAGAGTCTAAGTCTTTTTTGAAGCACTTTGAACTACATTTTATTTAGCTTAGATGAACTTGTAAATAGGTTTCTTTGATGATATTTTTTCTTTTTTATACACTGAAATATAATAACTGTTTTTCTACACTTTGTAAGACATTTAGAATGGCTTAAAGAATTTGTGTATTCTATAGTATTGATTGGATACTTCTACTACAATATTCATGCATTTTTGATATTTTGTTAACATTGTATTTTGTACTGCTACTAAATAATCACTAAATTGACTTAGCATCTCTTTTTATGACATAAAATTTTCTTATAATGATAAACCCTCATATCTATGTAACAAAAAATCATTTTGTATATAAATAAGTATCTCTTATTTTAATATATAGAATATAAAAAAATCATTTTTTGTTCTTTTTTTAATAATCATACATAGATTTTGGTTAATTTTTTTTGATAGTTAAAATCAAGCATGTATCAACATAAATATTGATTCAAAATTTATAATCTCGTGCTAATATTAAATATAAAAAAATGTTAAATAGTCATAGGTTTTTACTAAATTGACCTATCTATGATGAACAATATGATAATCATGATGAATAATGTTGTTGGTTTTTGTTGGTTTTGGATTAAATAGTGGAGAAATGAATCTTGAGATCATTTATTTATTTTTATTTTAATTTTTTCCATCATAATTAGGATGACTATGTCTATTTAGTAAAAACCTAGTTCTATTTAACATTCTCCTAAAAGAAAACCATATTGAATATCATTAAATATAAATATACATTATTTTGGATATTAAAACTTACAAAATATATATGTCTATATAGTATGAAGTGTAACATCATTAGAAATTACAAGGTTTGACCAAAGGTTCGAAACACACAATTTGAAGGCTGATTTTACGAAGATTGTGGCCTTGTACAATCTTGTGGTGGAAGAAGACAACCGGAGACACATTAAACTATCGACAAAGAGAGATGGTGAAAAGCACACTTCTGCATAGTTTTTAGTATGTCAAAACTTGAAAAAGTGAACTGCAGGCTGAAGGGAAGGAGCACAAAATCAGGGGAACGAGGGGAGGAAAGGCAGGAAATGGACCGGAGAGGGAGAGGGGGTGGAAACGGAGAGCGGAATGGTGCGATGCAGGGGGGAGAGGGCTAAAACCCTAGAATGACATCATCAGCCTGGTCTGGTCTGGTCTAGTCAGGTCATCGTGGGAGGGGGTAACCCTAAAGCAGAAACTAACCGAGACAGCCTGCGAGGGCTTGATTGTCGGGGAGAGAGAGCTCGGGAGAGAGGACTCGGGACAAAGCGAGACGAGCGAGACGACACACACAGAGAGCTGTGTTGTGTATTGTGCTTCTGGTCCCCGGGGCCTTGCTTCCCTCCCGCTCTTTCTCATTCTTATTCTTATTCTCACTCTCATTGTTGCTGCTTTTCTTCTAGAGCTTGCCTCTGGCCTCCCGTGACCTCTCCTTCCTCCTTGGCATTGGTCCATCTACTATGTTCGCCGGCACCCTTCCATTCTCCTCTTGATTGCCTCTGCCTGCCATGGCCTCCTCCGACCATGATCCTCTGCTTCTTGCTGCGTTCCGCGATGTCTCCACTGCCTCCACCAAGCACCGCATTGCTCTCTTTCTTAACCTCTCCCGCAATCTGTCAGGTGAATTCCTTCCCATCTCCTCCTCTCTGCATTCATGCTCTCGCTTGTATTGGCTTCCGCAATTCCAGCCCTTAAATCTCTTCTCCGTACTACGTAATTCTCTCGAATTTATCACAATGTTTTCTGTTGGTCTAGTTCACTGGGTAACTAATTACAGTTTCGTGATCCTCCACATTGAATCAGGGAGATTTGCTTCACTGTCTTATGAGTTTGACTTGTGAGCTGATCAGTGACGTAATTGTTGCACATCAGAAACTGTCGTACTTGTCTAATAGTATTGCCTAAGCTATGAAGACCTTGGATCAGTTTTGAATTCATTTTGTACGATTGTAAGCTGGTTTAGTTTTTGACTGTGAATCGAATCGGTGTAGTTTTTGCGACAACCTAATTAATTGACATAAGGAAACCTAACTTTTTCTCGAAATCGAACACCTTGGAATGGCCTCTTCGACGTTTTCTAGACGGTTGGGCTGAAGGATTGTTAAGAGTACTCCATTACTTTCAATTGTACGCGAGTAAACACTGTAGGCTAAGTATGCGTTTATTGATGTTCCTGGATTCAACTGTTGATTTCCGTTGGGATTTTTTCCTGTTGGTTTTCGGATAAGATTGACATTAACTTGATGGTTGAGGAATTCCTGTTTTTATACATCTTTTCGCAATAACGTGACTGGTTTTCTGGGTGCCTGCAGGAGAAACACTCAACAAGGACGCAGCAGAAGTAGTTGATATTATTTTTTCAACACTCCCTCTTTACGATGATCGACATTCACAGGCAGCTGTGGTGGAACTAATCTCTAGAGGATTGAAAGAGGCGTCTTTTGTGAAAGCGTTTGCTGGGGCTCTTGTCCAAACTATAGAAAAGTCTCACAAGACCAGCAGTGATGCTGTGCGCTTGAAGCTGTTGAGATGGTCCTGCCTTCTCATTATGCAAGTGCCCACATTGCTCTCTGCAAAGTCGGCTTTCGGCCGGCTTGCTCCTGCACAGGGTTTCTTGCTTGCATCTCTTTATCAAGCCTCGGTTCCAGTACGAAAAGCAGCTGGTCGCATCTTCAATCACTACTTAACGAATGTGCGTTACTCTTTCCTTGAACTGTATCCATCCGCCACATCAACTTGCGCAATTATAGAGTTGGGCTTTGTTCATTCTATTCGACCTATACACATGCATCACATTAGAAATAATCGCTTATCTAGACATGAAATTTTAGTGTGTTGATTGGATGAATTTTATGTAGCAGTTTCAGTAGTGTTGGTAGTATCGGTTATTTCGCTCAGAGAGGCTTGTGTTGATTTATGCAGGTGAGAGGTGCTTTCAAGTCCTACATTGCTGAAGTGGAGAGCTTTCCCGTCGAATGTATATATGGTCTCATGAAGGCTCTTCTTATGTTTTGCACCAAGAACCAATCTCTTCTAGATTCACACAAGGTATTTTTCTATTCAAACCACGTGATGAAATTTAAATTGTTTTGTGGATTGTGTTAATGGGAGTTCCAGTCATCCAGAGAATCCTGGCGCCATGCCTGGCTAGGAAACTTATTGACATGAGGAACGTACATGTAATTTTCATTGTAATGAACTGAAATATTGGAACCTTTACCATAAAGGTTTACGAATGACAGTCCTAAACCTGTTCCAAGTGGATACTGTCGGAAATTCGTTTTCGAGTTAATTGGCCACTGTCGGACGATAATCTTTTCACCCTTCTAGGAACTACCAATGATAATTTGGAAAAGAGTAATCACGCTAGTTACTGGAATTCAATTCTCCCTGAAGCTTTTCGGGGCTAGATATTGTATGAAGAGATATCGTATGTCCTTGAAGCTGTTCGAGAGGTGTATTAATTTGTTTTGTCCAATTTCTGCTGGCAGGCCTGGTTCTTGCAATCGTATTTAAAGCTGGTTTTTAATTCAACGAGTAGGAAGCCTCCTAAAGTTTTGAGTGAAGCTTTTCAGCCACTGCTTGAGCGGTTAACACATGACGATTTTGGAAAGACTATTTTGCCCAACGCAATTAAGATGTTGAAACGAAATCCAGAGCTAGTGATGGAAGCATTTGGCCTTCTGTTGACATATACCAGCTTAGACCTTAGTCAATACTCTGCGGAAATATTGCCATCAATCTTAGTTCAGGCTCGGCATAGTGACGAAAACCGACGCAAAGAATCTGTACAATTAGTGAACCAGTTGGTGGTTCATTCCAGTGACTTGGATGCTATTTCAACCATGTTTCAGTCTGCTAAATCTGTATTAGCAGGTACACCATTGCTTTTTTCCTTTCTCACATTTCCTCCAGCATGGATGATTAAGGTGAAAGCAGAGTTTTTTTTTTGGGGTGATTGTTAGCTCCATGAAAGTGATTTTAGTTCTTTCATAATTCCAGGTGCAGAAGGGAAGCTTGTGCAAGCATATCAAAGAGTTACAATGGTCAACATACTCCAAGTTTTGTCTAGTGTAGATGGAGGAAAAGCTGTCGCATCACTCGCGTCTACATCAGCTGTATACCTGATGTCCCTCTACAAGGATGATGGTATGTCCTTAGTTGTTTGTGTCCTTATGGTGTTCAAAGTGACATTAAATCCAATTCGTAGCATCTTTTCTTGATAATGCTTGATTTTTTAACCTTAGTGGCGTTTTAGCAGATTGTTTGTAAAATGTGGATGGTAATCAACGAGTCAAGTTTTTGTAAGAAATGTTTGGTAGCGTGCGGTACAAGTCTCCTTCTTGAATTATAGTATACCTAAAGCGCAGAACTTCAACTTCTTAGCTTTCGTATGTATGTGCCAGGAAATGAAGAGGTACGAGTTGCAATTTTACTGGCACTGGGTGCCTGGCTTTCGAGAGCTGGATCTAGCTGCCCTGCAGGATGCGTGAAGTTTTTCTGTCTGGGCCTCAAAGAGAAGGACACCCTCCGTCGAGCTCATCTTCGGTGTCTGAGACTGGCATTTCAGAACAGCGATATCTTGACTGAGGTTAGTGCACTTTGTCGTTATCGTTCAACACGTCATGTTTTCATGTTTTTTTTGTTCGAATGCAAGCATATTGGGTTGCAAATTATGGATGTTGTGGTCATGTTTGCAGATGATGGGGTTAACGGAGCCCTTGGTCCTGTTGATAAAGTCCGGCGCCACAAAACCTGCCTTGCGAGTTGATGCAATCTACTCTTTGTTACTCGTGTCCAAGATTGCGGCTGTTCATACTAAAGCTAGTAAGTTTCGTACGACTGGACGTTGCTGTTTTGATATTGGTACCTTTGTTTTCTCAGTTGCCTTTGAATAAATTAACTATGTAATCATTGCAGCTCACAAAAATATTACAATGGACTTTCTTTTTCTGCAGTTCGAAGCTGTACTTTAGTTTGAGCAGTTCCGATTTTTGTGGTTTTTTGCAAGTGGTTTGATGTCGAACATACAATTTCTGCTGTAGTGACATACCTAAATTTATTGTCTTCTACCTTCTCGAGTGCCTATCCTATGTTTTTAAAATAAGTGTGATATTATGTCATACGTATGTTATCAATTATAAGATGATCTCAGTAGAGCTTTTATTAGAATCCCGATGAGATCATCAGTCATTGATATAAGAAGCTGTCTGTTTTATCGTAGGTATCCTTCTTTAATGACGATCTAATAATTTTTACATCTGATTTAGATGGAAGAGAGTGCTAAGTATGATATTGGATACGTATTCACATGCTTGTTGATGGAGCGAGTGGTTACAGGTGACATACTTGTGAAGGAGAAGATATGGGATGTTTTGCTTGATAAAAATTCAACATTTGTCACGTCATCTCTGGTAACTACCTATCTATACTTGCATATATTCATTTATTCATGTTTTTCTTGCTTGATTGATTTCTTTGATTGAAAATTTTCTAGTTGCTCTATTTTGACATATTTTGGAGGAGATTTGCCATTTGAGGTTCAACAGATCCAACAGTATTTCTCTTACTTTTTGATTCAGGTTGCAAAACTATTGATGGATGATTGTGTTATTGTCGCTGAACTGATTGATGTTGTTCTCCTTCAACACTTGAGCAGGTACACGCATTTTTGTTCACTATCTTTGTCAAAAATTTCAAGATCAATGTGTTTTCTCCGACACTCTCAAGAGATAAAATAGCACGTTGCTTCTCGTTTGTGAATGTTATTATTATGATTGTTATTATTGTGATTGTAATGTCATTTAACACCAAAGACATGGTTCTCAGGGTTGTGACTCATCCTGATGGGATTACAGCTTTTTCCAAGGTGCAGTAAATCTTTTCTGAAGTTTCATTTAGGTCTACTGTTTAGTATAACGGTGCTGGACGACTTGTATTGCGTGCACTTAACCTTAGGTCAATGTTTAAATTTTACTTTCTGCTTCCATCATGCTCCTTCTGCGAATCTGATGAATTCGCGTTGTTACTAGGGTATTTATTTGTGTAGTTATGATCCTGGATTTGAATATCATCTGTAAACGTGTTAGCTTGGCTTTGAGTCTACCATATTTTCTTCTTGAGGGATGTTTTCTTTAATAGAAGAGATGTTTCCTTATTCTCTGCCTGGGGCTTGTCTATTTGAGCCACGAATTCCCTTCTATGCCTGAAACATCACTGTGGGTTTGTTTTGACGTATAATAATGTGTGTTGGCTGCAGCTTTTGGTCAACCTCTTGTGGCATCCTGCATTAATTGTGCGGAAAGCTGCTGAAGGTGTTGTGCTCCATGCACAGAAAGCAGATGACTTATTATCTGAATCACTTTTTGATGCCTTCAGTGTGGAAGTTAGTGAATTTGGAGGACAATTTATCCTTCTTAAGACTAGGTGGGAAAAGTTCTTCCCTGAAATTTACGTTTTTGTAAGAAATTAACTTATCTTATTTTAACGAATTTCTCCGCTCCTTTCTTGGTTTTTATATATTGTAACTATGCTGACTAAAAATGTGGATCATGTGCGTGCTATTGTTGATGTTTTCTGAAAGCTTGTTTTGTGGGAAGGACATTTCAGTGATGCTGGAGAGTCTTCGGGAGGGGCAACCGTGAACATTATTCCAAATTCTAACCTGCTAGCCAAGGCCTTATTGATCGTGTCATCTACCTCATTGGCTAAGAAACCTTCAAGTTGTGCAAAATTACTACTTTTATCTCTCAATCCCTGTATTGCAACTGGTCGTCACAAAGATGTCATTTGGAAAGTAAGATCATTGTTGAGTATTGTTTTTCTTCCCTTTTTTTTTTCATTTGTGCAATTACTTTCCTCTCTGGATGTCATTCGCTGCCTCTATGCAAAATGATTAAAAGGTTCGCCACTGTTTCTGATCATATTTTTGGAATTTGGTTATCGTACATTCATTATAGCGTTTCCTTTTTTATTTTCCTCCTATTCGTCAGTGACTAACTACTGTTGACTCGCATTATGTGTATTGACTTAAACTGGGTTATGTTCTTCTTTATCTGAATGCAGATTGTGTGTAGGAAAATGAAAAAACTTGGCCTGCATTTATCAAACGTTCTGGCGTCTGATCCCTCTGCTGTCTGTGAGGCGAGTCAATCTAGACTTGAAGGATTGGATTATAGTTTTATTATTCTAAAGTTTTAACAAACCTTCATTTTTTTGGGTGCTTTTGTTAGATTTTAATCTGTTTCAAATTATTCTATTTTGTTTTCCTAGACCCCATTCTGCTTCAGAATATTCTTGTTTTGTTTGAAATAGCCTTTATATCGTGGTTGATGGTTTTGGATCGATCTCTGTGAATGACTGCAGGTTCTTCTAGGATCTTCAGGGTTAATTAGCACAAATTCATCAGATTCTCAAGCCGCTATATTTTCTCTTGAAACTGCCATGAGGATGCTACCTGACAAATTTTTTCCAACTTTTCTCCAAGTACGGTTGAGAATGCTTTCGTTTCGTGGTTGTTAGGGCTCGAAAAAATGAGTGTAGTTTGCATCTACATTACTAATCAACAGCCTCGATATATCACTGCTTTTGGTGTATGACTTCAATGCTGGAACATGTTGCACACAACTGATACGTGAATGCGCACAATTTGTTGTGTAGGAAATGGATATTCTTGGGGATCGCAACCTTCACGATTCTTTATCTTCCCTAGATATAAAGGTACTTTTTCTTACTTAATCTGAATTGTTTTAGTTATGGTCCGATTGTGTTCATGTTAAAAAGGTAGTATTTAAGTGAGGATTGCGTGATACAATTATTGATGTTGTTTGCAAGTTTTATTGAGGATACCATCGTATTTTCAGCAAGTATAACCAGGAAGGAGGATTTATTATTTTTTTCATCATCCAAACACTGGGGGTTTAAGTTGAATAAGGACAGTTAGGCTCTAGATATAGTTCTATTCTATGTCTACATGTGATTTGTCTAATGGAACTGCCTGGATTGCTGTTCGAACCATATTTACTTGAATCGTAGGGCCAAGTCTTGTTTTCGTAGACCCCATTTTACTAATTATTTCTGTATTTCTCTACCAGAAATCTGCACGTCCGCTCAGTTTAGCTGGCATTCTGGCAGTTGTATTTTAATACACGTGCCATCGATTTTCTGCTATTTATTATACGTGCTTAGAACAAAATTTTAGCAAGTTTGATCCTGAGATGAACTCCAAGACAGGTTTTAGCACGAATTATCGCTTATTATGTATATCTAATATCACAATTTGTGTTTCCACTCGTTTCAGATATTCAACACTGAGGAAGGGATGCTGTCTACTGAGCTCGGTGTCTATGTAGCAGAGGCTGTGATGGACAAAAATGTCCGAAGTGCACGGGGTCGGTTCAAGATGTACGGAGATGACGAGGTTCAGTCTCTTTTAAACTTTTCCTTCTTCTCATCTGAATTTTCCAGCTGTGTTGAGTGAGCAGTCCTCTTACACAACATCCGTTCTATGACAACTGAATTCGATCTCCTCAAAAGCTTAGGTAGATTGAAGGGGCCATTTTTTTTGAGCAGATTGTGTCGTAATCGTGCGCTGGAATGGTGTATCCTGATACTTTGTTATTTCAATTTGTCTTACTGTTCAAGTTTGATATTTCAATTTTTCTGAACATTTTCATCGTAGGAGTTGTCCTGTTAACACTTATAACCGAGGATGTATTTGTTATGCTTCTACAGGACTCGTCGAAGCCTGTGCCAATCTCTCGACAGATTGATAATGGGAAGAAGGACACTACTAAGGCAATAAAGAAACCAAGTAAGTTGGTTTCATATTCTTTCGATATTTTGTTGCTCAAGCATGGATGACCATGGTCAACCTTCTGTTGTACTGCCCGGTGTGGAGCTGAGAAACTCGTAGAGCCCCAATTGATCGATACCAAGTTTTTCTATTCCAAACCTGGATTCATAGGCTCAAATCCAGCTGTCGGTAGTCTGTGAGTGATTAACCATTTATCTACGTGAGAGATATGGTTTTTTTTCAAATGAGATTCCTCGTGGTCAATTGGTAGCTCGAGAGAAGATTATCGTGTGCGGGCATTGAGAAACTAGATCAATGGATTAGAAACGGAGGAAGCATGTGAATCATTATTTTGTTCCTCGAACATGTAGTGTCTCGTTTTACTTTCAATGGCTTCAGTAAAATTTATCGCAGCTTGGCGGCGCTCATCTGAAATAATCTTAAAATGACCCCCATGCAGATGATTCCGATAAGTCCAAGTCCGCGAAAGAGGAAGCGCGGGAGATTAAGCTTCAGGAAGAGTCTGTTGTGCGTGAAAATGTGGAAGTAATCAAGAGAAGACTTTCGTTGGTGCTGAAAGCCTTAGGATCAGTTGCTACTGCGAATCCAGCAAAGGCACACGAACAACTACCAGCCCTGGTAATTTTTCTGAGCACACGACTTCTACTTTCTGTTGGTCATCATTACCGTTTTGGCTGCTCCGTAAAATTTTCTGGTAGCTTTGGAATGCATAAGGATATTCTTAGTTAGTAGGGTACTTCATGAATGGCATGAATTTGGCATTTTCTCATAATGAAAACGTCTCTACCGAATTTTGCAGGTTGATCGTGTCTTTCCCTTGCTCAATTCGCCTCTAGTTAGTATGGAGGCGTATCAGACTGTAGAAAAGCTAGCCAATTCTGTAGCAGCTCCTAGGGACATGGGTGCAGATATTGCGGCATCCTTGCGAATGGTTGCAACAAATTCGGTTTTGCTAGGGTTGCAAATATCTGATAAAGAGAAGAATCAGAAACCAGGCGTGGTGGACAGAGTAATCACAAGTCTAGTGCAAGCTTGTAAAAACGGACCACTTCCTCCTCCATCATTTATCGTCCTCTATCCAGTACGTGTTCTCAATTATACTTTTATCAGCCTATGTCACATATGCTTACATGTTGGAGCTGTAATTTGTTAATCAGAGTTCTTCAAATTTAAGGTAATTTGAGTCAGAGCTCTTGTATTTTTCGGCAATAGTCATTTAGAAGCCAAGAATCGGTATTTCAAGGAAGTAATTCATTGTGGCTTTTTGATAATTTATGCAGGAGCCTCTAAGTTCTGAGATCATATCACTGTTTGGTTGTATTTAGATTTCATGTTGGAATTACCTCTTTCGTCATGAGCTGAATGTTCTGCCCAGGTTTTGGAGCAAATTATGCTGGCGGATGAAAAGACCAGGCTACATGACGATGTGCTTGCTGTGCTAACTCTTCATTCATCTCCACGAATCCCCCTACCTCGTACACGAATGTTAAATGTAAGTCGACACTTAATGTTCTTGCCACCATTTCTCCATTTTTAAGTTAACTCTGCCGAGGCTTACGTGTTTATTCATGCATTACTTTAAACGCTTAACGCCTAGTTTCTAGAATTTGATTGCGAACTTTATTATCATATGAATGGCTGGAAAATGTTGCATGCACTTGTGCTGATGTGTTTTAAAACCTTTGTGCCCTTCGTTCTGCAGGTTCTTTACCATGTGTTGGGTTGTGTACCTTCATATCACTCTAAAATCGTGGTTATGCTGAAGGAGCTTTGTGAAGGATTGGACCCTGACAATTTAGCTGAGGTACTGCATTGGTATCACCAATTTTTTTATCATTCCAGGTCACTTTTACATGTATATCTTTTACCGACACGAGAGTTGAACTGACACATTTTCCTTTCTATGATGATCAGGCCCTTAACGGCTTGTACTCGGAGTTTGCTATCGTTCGTATTGCATGTTTAAATGCCGTGAAACATGTACCTATTCTTCGACAAAAAGATGTTCCGAAAAATTCTGCAGTTACTACTTTACTTTGGATGGCCATGTATGACCCAGCCAAGGTACGTCAAGAAGATCACCCTGCCTTTTCTTTCAAAATGATGCAACTTTCATGTGCTATATTGGTTAAGGTAGTTCTCGATCTCAATTATTTACGATTGGTCACGAATTGTTACTTACTTGTTTGATTATGTTGTGGTAACAGTCCGTCAGAGATGTGGCAGAAGGAGTTTGGTCTGAATTTCCTGGCCTTGAGTTACACACGGATTATGCCAAAGGGTTGATGACAGCCCTTGCACATGTGAACGTAAATGTGCGTCAAGCAGCAGCTGAGGCTCTTGCTGCAGCGATGTACGAATTTCCAGTCACAGTGCTGGTACGTTCATTATCACTTAGTTATTCTGCTTCCAGTCAGTTAGATTTTCTATTATATTGTCGTCTGTATGTATTTGCTTTTTGATCAGTTAACTGTTGTATGCTTCAGGAGACTTTAAGCTTAGCTTTCTCCTTGTATACCAATGAGCTACCCAACCCACGCAGTGAAGGTGATAAAACTTGGTATGGAAGGCATGGAGTGGGACTGGCATTGCATGCAGCAGCAGATGTCCTTACACAAAACGATTTGCGTATTGTCATAACGTTTCTCATATCTCGAGGTTTGGTATGTAGTACCACTTTTTGATGTGTATTATTTGGTTTTTCCCTTCAATTGAGTTGTGTTGTACCTGGATCTGTGAAATATTACTAACGTTCTTAAATCATTTCTACAACGTCCGCAGGCAGATCCCAACCAGGAAGTTAGGTCAAAGATGATGCAGGCTGGGGTGGCTATTATAGATAAACAAGGCAGAAAGAATGTTGAACTTTTGCTCCCAATCCTTGAGAATTACTTGGATAAGAAGGTCAAGTTCCCTCAACATTTACCTATTCGAACAAATGTTTCTCATTCACTGTCATATCGCAATGTATGTCTAGCCTTCATATTTTATTGTGTATAAGTAAATATATAATTTTGATTCTTTTAATTTTTACTAAACATGGTTACCTTGCACAGCTTATAAAAAATTAATTACAGAATTTGTTTGTTACTTGAAGTTATACTTTCATCTGTATGTAGTTTGTGTTGGACTAGCTTATTATTTATATGCTCTCACATATCCCATAAGTCGGTAGATGTTTTGACTATGAACTTGATAAGATTTTCATCTTATATTTCCACTATATGGTCTCAACATTTAACATTCTTTAAAGAAATTCAACGTTTGAGCTTTTGTAGTCTTAGAGATTGAATGTCATACTGAAAAATCCGTCGCCTTTTCAGGCATCCGATGAAGAACGCTATGATTTGGTGCGGGAAGGTGTTGTTATCTATATGGGAGCACTTGCGAAACATCTCACGCTTGTACGGTCTAACTTTCTGAATTTATTTGTTTTAAATGACGATACAATTTCCTTGTATGCTGGATAATGAGCAATTTTACCTTATTATTTGGTTTTGTTTGATTTGATTTGTCTACACCAATCTGATTTACTGGTGACACGTCTTTGTGCTGTTTTGTTTTGAACATTTTACAGGATGCCTCCAAAGTATCTAAAATATTAGACAGACTGCTGGAAGTATTGAACACACCGTCGGAATCAGTGCAGCGTGCTGTATCTGACTGCTTGCCACCGTTAATGCCATCTCAAAAGGCATGTTATTGGTTTTCCTTCCGAAGACCTGCATTTTTCTTTTCAAAATTCGATTATTCAGGATAAGCATTTCTTTATGTCATTTAAAAAATTCTAGAATTAGTAAAGTGTATTTTTACTATTCTGCTGTTTTACGTATTAAAAAGCACAAATGATACCTGTCAAATGGTCTTTAGGCCTCGAAAGGTTGTTTCATGTGCTAGCACAGTAACCTTACTAATTTTGTAACGTATAACCACTCTGAGGATCTTTCAAATTGTTCGAATCCCTATGAAAATTTATGTTGAAATAACTAGTTTATGTTTCTGCATTTTTGAATGTTTTGTAATTTTACATACCTTCATTGTCGTTTTTAGAAATTCTATACAACTTAAATTACTTTATCCTGTCTCCAATCGTAGTTGCCCTGTGTCGGGATGCTTTTGGATTTCAACATCTTATGATGCCTAATGCGTACCTTGCGTTTGATGTTTTGACCTTGGATATTTACCGTCTTTATTTCTGCAGGATAATGCATCAGCATTGTTGTCAAATCTTTTGCATAAACTCAAGGCCTCAGACAAGTATGGGGAGCGACGAGGAGCTGCATTTGGTTTGGCTGGTGTCATTAAGGGTCTTGGTCTTCCAAGCATAAAGCGTTACAAAATCATGGAAGCTCTACGAGCAGGTGTTGATGACAAGTAAGTTGTCACTGTTGCAAAAAGACGAATCACTTCATTTAGAATTTGATGTTTTTCTGTCCATACTCACTTTGTACAATGTACAGGTCTTCTGCAAAAGCACGAGAAGGTGCGCTACTGGGTTTTGAATGCCTGTGTGAGAAGCTGGGCCGCCTCTTTGAACCGTGAGATTTCTCCCAACATCAATTTTGTAATTTATTGAGAAACTACTGCCGAAAGTGTGAGGAATCAGGAATTATATTACTTATTTCAGGATTTTTCATCTATGCATCAAGTAGCACGCAGGACGGGATTTGAGTAATTCATGAATGAATAGTCTTTATTTCCCTTTAGGTGAGTATTCGAGTATTGTGTTTTTTTTTGCTTGCTCACAAAAATTGTTTACATTCTGCTTTTGTAGGTATGTGATCCATATATTACCCGTCCTATTGATCTGCTTTTCGGATCCTGTTATTGCTGTACGAGATGCAACGGATGCTGCTGCCCGTGCTATCATGTCTCAACTTAGTGGTCCTGGCGTTAAGCTTGTCCTTCCTGCGTTGATGAAGGTCGTAATTCACTTATGTGCTCACGTTCGCATCTATTGTCTCTACAGAGTTAGAAATACATCCCTTTATCGGAGGTTGTTTTTTCAATTTGCCATGTATCTCTCCTAATGTTATCTATTTCTAATCTGTTCATTTTATGCCCATTGAAATTCTAGGCTTTAGTTGAACCTTCTAATGTATGTTTGTCTAGCTTATATGGTTTGTTACAGGGTCTAGAGGATAAAGCATGGCGTACAAAGCAAGGGAGTATACAAGTTCTTGGCGCTATGGCATTTTGTGCACCTCGGCAACTTTCTCAATGCTTGCCAACTATTGTTCCCAAACTCAGTGAGGTACCAAATTGTGTGAATGTGCTGAATCATGTTTAGAATTGAGTGCTAAATAATTGAAAATTCTACTCTTTTCACCGTACTACCATGGCAATAGTTTTTAAATGGAATGCTGGCTGTTGTTTGCTTAAATGTTAACAGGTGCTTACGGATACACATCCCAAAGTTCAAGCAGCCGCACAAACCGCCTTGCAACAGGTATTTGGCTGTGATGTCATTATTTGAGCACCATGTTTAATTTCTAATGGGTAATCCAGTTTGCAATTTCCTTAAACCTGGCAGTTTTTTTTTTCTGTTTATATAGCTGCAAACCAATACTTTGCCTGTGGTGGATGTTCGCATTTCTACCTTAGTGTGTTTGCTTCTCGTTATGTTCAATGATGACATGTCATTAAATTTACTTGTCGTCACTCAATGACAGGTTGGCAGCGTCATAAGGAATCCCGAGATAGCTGCTTTGGTGCCTACACTTTTAATTTCAATTGCTGATCCAAATGAGCATACAAAAACATCCCTAAACCTTCTTTTACAGGTATTCTTCGTCATGAATTTGAACCTCTTGTCGCTTAAGATTTGTATCAGTTTTGGCCATTCAATGGAAACATCTCCTGAAGACCTACATTTGCTAATCAGAATGTTACGTAGATGTTGTGATTTGTTGAACTTTGCAGTAAAGTGCACGCAGTTTATTTTGGTATCATAATTACTTAAGTTTGGTAACCCATATTTTTCACCAAACATGTTCCGATGTAGACTACATTTGTGAATTCGGTGGATGCGCCATCTTTGGCATTGCTCGTTCCAATTGTGCATCGTGGATTGAGAGAGAGAAGTTCGGAGACAAAGAAAAAAGCTGCCCAAATTGTTGGCAACATGAGCTCTCTAGTAGCGGAACATAAAGATATGCTTCCATATCTCACTTTGCTTCTTCCGGAAGTAAAAAAGGTAGGTGTTGTCTTGCACAATTGTTAAGCACATTAATTTTCACTGAATATTGTTTCGCAGTAGCGGAATGTGTTCATATTTAGTACACCTACTGATTATGGAGTTTATGTGGGTACAGGTTTTGGTCGATCCTATACCAGAAGTGAGAACGGTGGCATCCAGAGCTTTGGGCTCATTGATCAAAGGCATGGGAGATGACAACTTCAAGGATTTGGTGCCCTGGCTATTGCAAACATTGAAGTCAGAAACTAGCAGTGTTGAGAGATCTGGAGCCGCTCAAGGATTGAGTGAGGTATTTATGATGACAATACTCCGAAGATTATGTTCATGCTTGCTCTTGGAATTGTCATGTACATTCTAAGTGCCTTAAAGTGGATGGGGATGTCAGATGTTTTTGCTCATTTGGATTGTGCCAAATGTGTGTTTATTTAAGTCTTCTAAATCCTTCAACTATTCTTGTTATGCAGGTTCTTGCAGCTTTAGGCACTGAATACTTCGAGTCCCTACTACCTGATATTATTTCTAATTGTTCACATCCGCGACCTGCTGTCAGGGAGGGTTATCTTACACTTTTCAAGGTGAGATTCGGATGTTAGTTGATAAATATTTATCTAATTCGATATAGTTGAGCACGTTAAGTACCTGAAGCTGATACTGTATTCTAAATTGTATTTTGCAGTATCTGCCTGTGGCTCTTGGACCAGTTTTTCAGAGATATCTTCAGAGAGTGCTGCCAGCTATTCTTGATGGTGCGTGAACCTACACAGAACTTGTTTACTTTCGACGGGTTTGTTTAGGAGATTTTGTAAACTGCCCGTAGAATTTATACTTTCCTACTTAGCTATCATGATTTAATTGTGTGATGCATTTTTACCTGAAAAATATGTATGCAGCAATAATGTTCCTTGAGTTTGGTAAGGCCCTATGCATCTCTTGTGTTGGTTATTATACGTCATGCGTTGGTTTGTGAATATTATAATTTGAAGGATTTTCATTATAAGGTTAGAGCAAATTCATCTCTGCCTGATAACAAGCAACATCATGTTGTGGTCACACATTAGGTCTCGCTGATGAGAACGAATCTGTGAGGGATGCTGCTCTAAGTTCAGGGCACATTCTCGTGGAGCACTATGCAACATCGTATGCCCTGGGCACTTACTTAGCTCTTTTTTTAAGTTGATCATTTATTACTACGTTTTCTGTGCATATAGTTGATATTGAAAGTTATTCATGTTTATGGTTTAATAATTTAAAATTTTCCACTTCTAACCTCAGTTCTCGTTGTGGGCTTGATTGGATGACAGTTCTCTTCCACTCTTGCTTCCTGCTGTGGAGGAAGGGATATTTCATGACAATTGGCGTATTCGTCAGAGCTCTGTTGAGCTTCTGGGTGACCTGCTTTTTAAGGTTTGTTCAGGATACAACTTCAAAGACGTTTCTTGGACATTGTTTGCTGTACTGCCTGCAGCCATTCGTATGCGGCTTTGTCTTCATTCTGTAGGGGTTTATTTTATTTTATTTTAAATGTGTTCATTTGGTGGGCGCTGACTCTTTTTTGTAATTTGCAATTATGTAGGTGGCGGGAACGTCTGGTAAAGTAGTGATTGATGGAGGCAGTGATGATGAGGGTGCCAGCACTGAGGCACATGGGAGAGCTATTGTTAACATTTTAGGTGCGGAGCGCCGCAATGAGGTGTTGGCTGCAGTATATATGGTGCGATCGGACGTCAGCCTTGCTGTTCGACAGGTACTCTTATGCGAATGTTTCAAGTGCTTCTGAATTTTGTTTTATTGAATTCAGTATGTTTTTGTTTCTTTGCATATATGTATTTATACATTGTGTCATTTCGTTTCTAAGTCTGCCCCAAATTCACTTCTGCGGTTCTGTGTGCTTTGTTGGATGCTAGGCATCACTTCATGTTTGGAAGACCGTGGTTGCTAACACACCAAAGACTTTGAAGGAGATCATGCCTGTTTTAATGAGAACTCTAATTGATTCTCTTGCTTCAACCTCGAATGAACGTCGACAGGTAGTGAATCGCGAAACTAGATTGAGACGAACTTATTTATATGTATTTGTTGTACTTTAAGTTCTTTGGTTTCTATTTTGGTTGGTTTTAGGAATATCGTTATTTCCTCATTTGATAAGAGGCATCCTACTTTCTAACATTTTCGGTTTACACCGTCCTCTTGTAGGTTGCTGGCCGGTCCCTTGGCGAGCTTGTCCGTAAACTAGGAGAAAGAGTGCTTCCGTCTATAATTCCTATCTTGGCCAAAGGTCTTGATGACCCAGTTGCTAGCACAAGACAGGTATATTTTTTTCGTTTGGGTTAGACTTTTCTGTTCATTTCGTTATTTGTGTAAGCCGATAGCTCACCTAACCGTTTTAATTTATGCAGGGTGTTTGCATGGGGCTAAGTGAGGTGATGGGAAGCGCTGGCAAGCACCAGTTGGTGTCATATATGAGCGAACTGATACCTACCATCCGCAAAGCACTGTGTGACAGGTTTGTCAGTAACTTTTCAAGACTGTATTTAAGACAGCCGAAGGTTCTTTGATCTGTGATGCAGAATTGCACTAAATATAATTTCTAATTTAATGTGCGTTGTTATTGGTACCTTGCAGAGAGTTGGTGGTCCGTGAGGCTGGAGGCTTAGCATTCAGCACATTGTTTAAGGTGATACTTTCATGTGTAAAGCTATTATTTTGGTTCTTGTTAACACTCCATGCGTGCTGTTTCGTCTTCTTCTTTCATTGTTTTCTTGAGGCGGGTTTTCTGATGTGGTTGTATCATTTTTGACTTCACCGTACGTTTGTTTCAAAACCCATCTATGCTATTTCTTGCCGCTGCTTTTTAAGGCTATGCATATTGGAGAGACCGAATAATATTTCAAGTTTTACCTTGCTAGTACTGTGTTCTATCAAGAGATCTGACTGTTGATACTTTTTGATGATTTTAGAGTGCAGGGATGCAGGCGGTTGATGAGATTGTTCCCGCCCTCCTTCATGCATTGGAGGATGATGAGACGTCAACTACTGCCTTGGATGGTCTGAAGCAGATTCTAAGGTACCTCGATATGCATGTAAATTGTCTGTAGCCGTTTCATTGTAGATCTGCCTAAGTTGTCTTTTCTATTCACTTTCATGCTCATGGGTTGAAATGTTCATTCTGTATGCTTCCCTTGGATAGCTAGTGTTTGTAAATTATGATTGCTTCAAATTTTATGGTCATGCTAATACTTCTTAAATGTGAACAGTGTAAGAACGGCTGCAGTACTTCCACATATTCTCCCAAAACTTGTGCAAGTTCCTTTAACGTAAGCATTCCCTCTTTTGAATTTCGTTATTACTACTTTCAAGTACTTGTGCGGTCGAAGTCAGTGGGGTCTTCACGTCTGACAGAATTTCTTCATAACGTGCAGGGCCTTTAATGCTCATGCCCTAGGAGCATTGGCTGAAGTTGCAGGGCCTGGTTTGAATGTCCATCTATCGACATTGTTACCACCTCTAATAGCAACGATGGGAGGTGGCGATGAGGTATGTCTGTCACGAAATCTATCCACCAATTAATACTTGGCTAGTGTACTGTGATCTGTTCTGTATAACCAGAACATCCACGTTTGTCCTTACTGAATATTTGTCTGTGTTTGCAGTCTATTTCACTTCTGGCGAAGCGCGCAGCCGAAACAGTGGTGTTGGCAGTTGACGAAGATGGTCTTGAAACTCTTGTTTCAGAACTTTCGCGAGGCTTGAGCGACATAATGGTGTGTTTATCACTTCTGAAGTATCTTCCCTTTTGTGGTTCTGTTTCTTCCTCTCTTGTTTTGGTACTGATTGCTATCTGTGTCTGTGCAGCCTGCTGTGAGAAGAGGCTCTGCTTACCTTGTAGGCTTCTTGTTCAAGAATACCAAACTTGGCATTGAGGAGGATGTACCCAACTTGCTTACTACCTTGGTGATAATGCTCACTGATAATGATCAAAGTACAGTTCAGGTACTACAAAATTGTCAACAACACCTCTGCATTTTAAAGATATTTGTCGTATCTAGCATTTTGTAATTCTCTGAAGAATACTCTGTACCGTATCTTGCACATTATCGTGATCTTATTATTGATATTTTTGTTTTGACTCAGGCTGCTTGGGAAGCTCTCGGAAATGTTATTGGGACTCTCTCCAAGGAAACTTTGCCTTCCTTGTTGAAAACTATCCGTGATGCAGTTTCCAGTGCAAGAGACAAGGAGCGTCGTAAACGCAAGGTTAAAATTGCTCATTGCCTCTACGTATAATATAATTAGCCCTTTAGATTAGTTGCTTAATGTGTGATCATGTTTCTTGAACAGACTTAATTTTTTTTTCTTAATTATTATTAACCTTGATCGTATATCCTATGTTAATGTCGAATTTATCAGTGTCAATTTCTAATGTATGTGCTGCAATTAAATTCACATCCTAGGATACCGAAGCACATTTTGTTGCCATCATGGTTTCACTGGTATGGGAGAATAATATGTGGGACTCATTCCCTTACGTTCGGTATCTACTGTTTATTTTGGTGGTTCATTGGTATTTTTCATCATGTTTTTATCTAGCACTCTAATTAAAGAAGCATGTTTATTCTTTATGCAGGGAGGACCTATACTCATCCCAGGTTTCTGTCTTCCTAAAGCTTTGCAGCCTGTATTGCCAATTTATCTGCAGGCAAGCTCACAATTTCATTCTCAGGGACCTTTCTATAGCCATCATTGACATGGTGCTGTGCATATGAGGATAGCCACATTTCTTCATACTCTAAGCGTAGTGGGTTTTGCTGTTCTTGGGAGCAGAGTCTTATGAGTGGCTCAGCCGACATGAGAGAGCAAGCGGCAGACGGACTAGGAGAATTAATTGAAGTTACAAGCGAGAGTTCCCTGAAAACTTTTGTTGTTTCAATTACTGGGTAAATCGTCTGGACTTATGAAATTTGATTCATCTCTCCTGTTTTCGTTTTAGTGATAAATATACTAAGTTACTTCTCTGTGTGCAGTCCCTTGATCCGAATCATAGGAGACAGGTTCCCATGGCAAGTGAAGAGTTCTATCCTGGGCACTCTTGGAGTACTGATCATAAAGGGTGGTCTAAGTTTGAAGCCTTTTCTCCCTCAATTGCAAACAACATTCCTCAAGTGTCTGCAAGACACTGCAAGGTATTCATAATTTGCCTCAAATAGTTGTAGAAGACGTTAGCCTTTAAATGAGAAGTCTAATATGTGCTCAGAAGCAGATGTTTGAGTTTATTTCTTTTTTTACATTATTCGTATGAACCAATCGTGAACCTCTGTCATGTTTTTCACTCAGGCCTGTGCGTTCAAGAGCAGCTTGGGCTTTGGGCAAGCTTAGCAAACTAAGTACGCGAGTTGATCCACTCGTTGGCGACCTCCTTACTGGTCTGCAGGTCTGTTGATATCGCTTGATATAATTACTGCATTGTTCCTCTTGAAGATACTATGCTAAATTCTATTTAAGTAAAATGCCAATTTTGAGCCTCGTGGATAAGTATGATTGCACTGTGAATAGCTTTTGAAGTGCTGAGTTGTTCGTGCGTAGACTAGTCAAGAAGGAGAACGGTACCACTATATTTTCTGCTTCTAACTGGATCACAATTTCAACAGGTTGCAGAAGGTGGGGTTAAGGAGGCAACTCTTGTAGCTCTAGAAGGAGTAGTGACTCATGCTGGCAAAAGTGTGAGTGCGACTGTAAATGCTCGCGTATTATCGACTCTTCAAGGTCTTCTTAACTCAGAGGAGGATGTTGTGAGGACTTCTGCAGCAAAGAGTTTGGGCATTGTTTCCCAGGTTAGTTGATGTTACTGATGGTGCAATCCTCTATGGGCAAGATAACCTAGTGCGGTTTTGTTTTAGTGATTGTTGATTGAAAATTTTCATTCTTTCTATCTTTTTGCAATGCTATATCTTCTCTTTTTTGGTCCTGTTTATCTAAAAGTGGTATTGTGATAGTATGTGGGAGACGCAGAATTTTCTCTCTTTCTACATGTGATATGCACAGTTGCCCCTACCTCTACCTGGCAAATGCGACATGGCTGCACAATGGCTTTGGCTTCTGTACTTCGGCATGCCTCTCGCAACGTTTGTGGGTCTCAAGCCTTACTTACGCTAGTACTTGGGTATTTGAAAACCAGGGCAAAGGATGATAAGGTAAGATCTGGTGTGTTATTCTTTATTTATTTCTATGTGTGGGTGTCCCTTGTTCATGTCCTCACAGATCATTTTTATTCGTCGTCCACTGTGTTCGGTATTTATTTTATGGATGTCTGATCGCAACGTCTACCAGGTTCCCGTTCGAGAAGCTGCAGCCCAATCCATATCCAGGCTCTTAGTATTCCAAGTCCAGGAGCGCTTGCCAGTGTCTTCTGGGGAATCGCTGCCATTTTTATGCCTGCTACTGACGGACTCCTCCAGCGATGTGCGTAGGCGAGCTCTAAGATCTGTCAAAGCATTGGCGAAGGTAATCCTTTTTGGTCTCCTTGTTTACTGACACGCTTCGTCCGTTTGATTGTGTTGTTCGATGTTTGGGTATATCATATTTTCCCAGAAGATTCTAAATGGTTTAAGGATTTTCTACAGTAGTTGACAGTCGGAATAAGTTCAATGCAGTTTAACGCTAGATTGGGAGTTTGCGACAGTTGGCATTGATTATTGGATATATATCATAGTTGTAACCTTGAGACTTTTCAACAGGTACACTTCGAAGGCTTGATCCCAGCCGCTGGCCCTGGCGTGGGCGAGTGCCTACAGGATAGTAGCGCTCCTGTTCGATTGGCTGCAGAGCGTTGCGCATTCCATCTATTCCAGCTCAGCCGAGGTAGTCAAACTAACTCTTTGAAATCTAGATCTGGTTGTGTAACCATGAATACACCTTGATGATTGTGCTGACACTAACCTGTTCTTGATTACCATCTTCAGGAAGTTTTCCGAAGGCACCTGTCTTCAATTTAGATACATATTTAATTAGTCAGAACTTCAGTAAATGAATATTTTTGTGCAACCATTCTTTTATCTTGGTGTGTATATTTAGCCAAGACTGACTTGAAAGCACATTGTTGCAGGAGGTGAGAATGTGCAAGCAGCCCAAAAGTACATAACTGGGTTAGATGCCCGTCGGATTTCTAAGCAGCCGGAAGCGAGGTATGTCACCTGGCAACTTGCCGCCACTTTAATGCTAATTCATTTGGATCGATGCGTACACAATCTTTCCAGTCCAGTCGATGTCTATCCTGATTAAAACTTCTCGCATGATCCTTCGACTGGGAATGCTTGGACTAGTCGTGATTAATTTTTTTTTGAAATTCTGTAATTTTCAGTGATGACAGCGAGGACTCGGAAGCTGAAACGATGGCAAGTTGACCACCTTTTTTTCAGACTGTTGTCTTGCATCAGGAGGATATGCTCTATTGTGGGTGTGGAGTAGTTGTTATGTGAGATTATCTGATACCAAATGAGCCTAGTAGTGAGACTTCTTTACCTCCGGTAGCGACTTCTATCATCAATTTTGTTTTCCGCACAATGTTCACGAATGCATGCCTTAGTGATATTGACCTTTTCCAAGCCAAAATCTGGATTTCAAGTCGCTCTTTAGTGAAATCCTGCAGTCGTCAAGGTTCTAGCCAATATATTTTCAAGTGCCGTGTGCTTAGCAGTTGAAAATGATCCATCTGCTTGTACTGAAGTAACACCCAAACTCGTGAGCTCAAAGTGATGCAATGGAGAGATGTATGAAACTTGTGGTACGTGGAGATTGTGTTGATAGGATGGAGTACGTTGATTAATGTTTGTTTTTTTTTGTTTTCTTGTTTTCTTTTTCCAGTAGCTGTAAGATGCATTCAATTAATACTGTAGCACATACCTTTTTGGATCTCCCATGATAGTATATTGGCAAGATATTTGAATTGTTGCACTGAAACACTTGTTTATCAGCAGACTCTAAACTTTATACTTGGAACACGTTTTCTCTGTCAAGCGTAAAGTTGATTTTTCTTCTACGTTATTTTAGACAGGAAGTGCTCGTTTTTTTTTGATAAAAAGGTTAAACTTGGTTTTTGAAAATAGAACGCTAATTTAGCTACCTTTACCGTGTTTGAATTGAATTGGTCAGTGATAGGTTGTTTTTATACATTTTAAAATATTTTTTTTCAAATACTACTTTTGTTATATATTTATTATTTAATTTTGCATATTTGATGTTTCTTATAACTTTGAAGATTCGCAATTTGCAAATTTTAAACTCATTTTTAATTGCTAACTATATTCTTGTTTCAAAAATTATAGACTTTTATAAAGGCATTCTATCTTTATACCTATAATTGTGAAATGTTAAAAATTTATAACCACTTTGAAATAAAATAGATTTTTTAAAATAAGTATTCTTATATACTTTATTATGTTACTATTGTCACCTTAGTTTTTCCTAGTACCACCACTACTCACTGCCCACTTGACATATTTCTTTAGATCTTTTTCATTCCAATCAAAAAGATGTTAAATTGAATGGTTTTAAAATATTGAACAAAGAAAACTTGATTATTTTTTACAAAACTAAACAAAAGTGGCATATCATAGATGGAAGTTGTAGTGGTAAGAGGAGAGGCTGTTGTGGCATTAATAATACTCTATAAGATACATTACAATAGTATACTTTTTGATATCATTTATAGTGTAAAAAAAATAAAAATATATTTTTTAAATTTAGAAACAATATTGATAGTTGTATTTAAAAAGATTATATTGTATGAAGAAACCAACTAAATTATTAAAGATATATATATTTATATATAATAAAACAGAACTTAATACAATTTAATTGATTAATATAGATTATATTTTTATTATTTTATCAAAGTTCAATAAAATAAATTAGTTTTAAAAAATTGATTGAAAAAAACTAATATTATATGTTAAGCAAACTAAACAAATATTGTTGCAAATGAACTTTAAATAATTAAATTTATTTTATATCCTTCTAATATTTTAATAAATAATAAAAGTAGAATATACACAAAAATGATTTAAGTATAAAATACATAAAAATAGTTGAATGAATATGACATATTCAATAAATAGTTCAACTTGAATTAATGAAATTTGTGTAATTTAAAATAATAATAATACTAATCTATTATAGTTATAGATATCTATTATATAAGATTGCCCAGGAGGATAAATAGCCGAGACAAAACATGGTTCTCATTTGCTTCATGCACCCTCTCTTTGTTCTCATCAAAAAAGTTAATGTTATTTAGACTTCACACGGCCATTTACTGTTGATCGTATCAAAAGACTACGTTGTCGAGATAATATACTAGATTATTGGTGACAGTATTGGAGTGGCAAGAAGAGGATTTAGCAGGACATAAGAGCAACGACGCTCATAGTTTTGTGATTTATTTTCAAACTCAAGCATACAACAGGGTACAAACATCCCTCGATCACTTTGCATTTGATCACAGTAGGTTGGGTTTTTTTATTTGTTTGCGATGGCGGTTTGTGGTGTTGCAGGAGCATCTCCTTTGCATTTTTGTCCCATGGTGCAGGCCCCAATGCATGTGTTAGGCTTTTTACACATGTTTGTCTATTCCGCTCTTAATGGGTACAGCTCTCGCTGATCATGGTCTCCTCCATTTTTTATTTTTTATTTTTTTTGCTAGGTTGCGTGAGGGGCCTCTCCCTAGTTGCATGAGCGCATTTCCATTCTATCACAAGTTGTGCCATCCTGAGATCATTTCATGGTTTTGATGTCTGTTTCGTATGGATCGTAGCTAAGTCCGTTTCTCCTGCATATTTTTCATAAAGTCCTCTACAATTCCTGCATATTATGGAAAGTGGTCGCAAGAGGTGTTTTGAGGAAATTCCAAAGCCGTACATGCTAGATAAGATCTTCATGGTGTGTATTGTTCACTTAGAAGAAAATGTAATTTACTCTATTCTATGGTATATTAAGTTTGTATTGGATTTTTTGGACCTCATGCAGAGGTGCATATGGACTAAGGAATGTGCAGCATATTGCTGAATCTCACACTCTTCTGGAATTTAGTGAAACAGATATTCGTTCTTCATTGGGATTGAAACCACATTAGATCATGTCGGAAATTTTTTGGAATATTATCTGGACATTAGATTTGTTGCAATGGTTGAACTACACCACCTTACATTTTGATTGCTGCCTGTCAGTGCTAGCTGGATTAGAGACATGAGATTTTCTTAATGGTGTGAGGATTTTTTATGATCAAGGATAGTTCTTAGCAGCAGGAGATGCATGGTTTTGTTTTTTTTAAAATATGGTTTGGAATCGGTTGGTTGTTACAGAGGAACCCAAATTTAATTGCGATTTATAGAGGACGGCAGGCTTTAAAGCGGGGAATATGAGAGACTGTTACAACTGAGTTGAATTTGGTTTTTGTCAACACAAAGATTTTAACTATCAAACCACTTAATTCACCAGCGGACTAATCGACATTATAGCTCATGCATCGTATGGGGTTCACAATGTAGGCGGATTACAAAGGATTGGTATACCAGGTATACTTGTGTGTAATGCATAATGTTTGTTTAATCATTTTTTTCATGGTTTTCCTAGCTACAAGTTTACGTAACCAAACTGATTACACAACGTCTTTTTTTGTCTTAGCATACTTGGGCGGAATGTGGTGGGTGTTGCCGATTACCATGGATTTTGTTATCAATTCGATAATGGAAGTTCTTGGTGTGCGTCAGGTTTAGTGTTTACTTGCTGAGTTCAACATCTCAAAATATTGCAATTACTTGAAAATGTCCTGGATTGTTTCTTGAATTACAGACCTTGAAGTGCTTGAGTCTTCAGCGACTTCTTTAAGACTAAAAAAGAGACTTCTGATAATACTTTCTGCAGTGGCTCACAATCCTTGATCTAAATCGCATACATTTTTTGAATCATTCCTTTCCTCACAAGATTGGGAAGGGTCTAAGACTGAACTTCCTTAATAATCCAGATCAAATTACAAAGAGGAGAATTCGGCAAATTCTTACAAGAGTCTGCCAGACATTTGGCCACAACGGAAGCAACAACTTTGGATGCTGATATTATTTGCAAAATTTTAAAGTAAAAACAGAAAGTTAAATTTAAAGTAAGAACATCTCTTGATTTTGTTTAGTTTCAAGTATCTTTGTACTTCCACAATAGTTAAATAACCTTCTACATTAGTAAAAGAATCTAGACTAAATGAAATACAAATGAAATTGTGATAATGAATTGTGATAATAAATGACAACGACACAAAAATTTATATTTATATGTGTGTATGTTAAATCAATTAAAGATGTCATTTATTTGCAAAAAATTAAGTAAATCCAGTTGGAATTTTTTTTTAAAAAACATATACATGATAATAAAATGAAGAATTATAAAAATTCAAAATTCATTTGTAATTGAGATTAAAAAAAATAAACTGTTTTCCTAATGCCATGTAAAATTCTTATTGATACATGAAAATTGGGAAACATTTATCAAATATCATGTGGTTGGTATTCTACATAATTGATAATGATAATTCTCAAATATTAAATACTTAAATTTATAAAATGATGAAATTTCTTTGCAAGGATTATAGATGTATATAACATATTGAACATACAATATTAAATGTTTGTGATGTTTCTAAAATATCAAACAGTATTTTCATATATAGATTTGAAAAATTATTGTAAAATCAACAGATATCCATATCAGTTTGATATGCTGAAAAAGTTTAATTCCTGAAATTCAATTAGAAATGTTTTCATTTTTTAAAAGTAATATAAATGTAAATACTTCCATGTTTTTGATAGAAATCTATCTTATTAACACCAACAACAAAAATAAATAAAAACAAGTTGTCATTAACATTTTTTTAGATCATCGATAATAACATGTTATTTATTGACAATATGTAAACAAATAAATAAAGCAGATTGAATTGTTTTACATGTGCAGTTAATTGTACATTAAGCCCATGACTTGATTTGTAAAAGGTAAATTATCCCATATAATATTTCCTCAATCTACCATTTTTTTTTTTTGTTTCTAGACTTTTTTGTTATATTAATGTAGAATTAATTTTGAAGAACCTAATTGCAAAATTTTCCTACTAAAATGCAAGGCGAAATGCTTAAAAAGCTGAGATCCTGATATCAACAATCTAAACTTTCTGGAAATCTATGTCAGAAATCCGTGACAACAGCACTGGTTCAACTAGTCTATTATATAAAACAGCTTATGGGGAGACAAATACAAGGATAAACAAGAGGAAATAAAAACTTTCTCTGACTGGCTCATGCCTCGCTGTTTTCATCAAAAAACTGACCAAAACTCAATGTAACAGAGATATTAACTGCTACCTTTAGGGATGTTAACATGCTGTTTCGAGATGTTGCATCATCAGATGCATTCTATGTTCCGTCTGCAATCGTTGTAACAACTGGTCTAAATTGTTCATCGCATTGAGCGCATTCGCATTCCGTTGCGTTTTTTCAGAAGCAACATTCCAAGCGGATGTATATTGATGCCGCCGATGTGTTATGTGTTGTTGAATAGCTGCCTCAATGTCGATTAGATAATCAGACACTCATCTCTAACTTTTATGGACATCTAATTTCTTAGTGGCTCCTCGAGCGCTGGGGTTTGGTGTTAGGGTCGTTGAGGTGATTCAACTCAAACCGGACGTGAGTGGGAATGGTTGGCATGCAACATTCATTAGCGCGTGGCCGCTGATTTGGTGCAGCTCGGTGGCGGGGTCCGCCTGGGCACCTCGCGCAAGGCGCAGCTGAGGCGTTGTGCCGCGCCGGCCACCAGAGTATCGCTGTACTCCGATGCCAAGTACGACCAGAACAACTACACGTTCGACCCCATCAAGGAGTCCATTGTGGCCCGCGAGATGACCCGGCGCTACATGACCGACATGATCACCCACGCCGACACCGACGTGATGGTGGTGGATGCTGGGTCTGCGAGGCTTTCGTGCGCTTACGAGCTGTCGAAGAACCCCAGCGCGAAGGCGGCCATCGTGGAGCAGTCGGTGTCGCATGGAGCAAACTGTTTCGAGAACCATTCAACTGACTTGATGAAAGTCCTGAGGTGAGCGCGACGTTAAGCACGTCTCCATTTTTCGTCTAATGCTGATGTGCCATTCAGACACACCGAATCATGATGTGGGTAACGTTGTTTTCATTTTCATTCTGCAGGAATCTAAGGCAGTGAGGCAAGCCATAGTTGGAATTCTGGCCGCAGGTGCAATATTCCGTTTGTTGGGGTTCACAACTCCAGCAGCAGATCAGAATTTGTTTTGCACTTTCCGTTTCGTCGTCACTTTTTCGAGTGACGCTTTTGAAAGGGTCCACGCTTTTGCTCATCGCAGGAACCGATATGAGAATGTGATAGGATTTAAGATTCTTCACAGTGTTGGGTGTTGAGCGTTTTTACAAGTCGATTGCAGACACAATCACATTGCGCAGGCAACGATGGACAACCCACGGTTCGATCTTAAGTTCCACCAACAAAAAACTTCTATTCTGGCTCAGTCAACTAGCATTTAACTCGATCGACAGCCAGACCGTGGCAAAATCCTTCCCAAAACGACGACGACGTCATCTGGCTCTGGAATCCGATCGTTTCAACACTGCAATCCTTCATAAAATGTGTTGATGGACGTCACAGCAACTGTATAGAATTTTCACAGCTATGAACGAGGAACAATAGAGAGGGATGCCGTTCATGATTTGGCAGTTTGATTCTCTAAATCTGATCTCCAAATTGGTGTTGCACGGCAAGAAGTTGAGATCGATGAGTAACACTAATCCGGGGTTGCCTCTGGCAAAGAGTGTGGAATGTAATATTTGAAATATTCATTTTTGTTTAAAATAAAAAAAACATTTCAAATATTTAATATAAAAAACATGCTTGCCAATTGCAGTGAAAAAACATAAATGGTTCCATTTTTATGCATATACTCTTTCTTTCTTTCTTTCTTTCTTTTTTTTTTTTTTTTTTTTTTTTTTTTTCTTCTTGGTCAACATTTCTTTAGGAGTGGTCAATTTTTGACTTGGCAACCAAAAATTAAACTTTTACACCTTTACTATGGCTAGCAACATTGGTTTCCACTAGTGTGTATATATATATATATATTATTAATAGAGATAAATTATATAAATATAAAATATTATTTTATATTCTTATTGTTGTTAGAAATTGAGTAATTGTTTCTTCTTAATTTTATATCTTAATATATTATTTTAAAATCCTTGTATTTTAATTATTAATCTAATGAAATGAAATCTTTTAAAAATTAAAACCTAAGATAATATATTCAATTTACATGAACATTTGATTGAAAAAAAAAATTGAAGAAAAAGAACTAAAGTAATCTAATATGATAGAATATGTTATATATGAATGCTAACCTTAAGGTTCATATAGAATGTTTTATTTAATAAGAAAAATAATTGTCTAAATTATTCTACTAAAACTAATATTTCTAAAGTTTTCTTAAGATTTATAATACTTTAAAAAAAAATTGAAAATAACTATTTTTAAAAACGAATAAATTTACAAAGTACAAGAAAAAATATTAGTCAAATGATACATTTTATAATTTTTTTATAATTTTTTTATATTTAATATTATATGTGCAAGATTTTTGAACATGTTCACATATGAATTTTACTATTATGTACAAAATATTATTGCTAAGTTTACCATAAAAAATAGTCTATACTTAGTCTAAATTATGTTTAAGCTTTTAAAAATCTAAAATTTAATATTCTTTCCATGATAACTAAAAAGTCTAATTATAAAATATAATTTAGTATATATAACTAAGTTATTATTTTTTTATTTTTTATTATGCATTTTAACTAGATCTCAGATATAATGTTTTAAAGAATAATTTGATTATTGTTTGTTTTTAGAGTTTTAAATCATAATACATAAGTACAATTATTATTAAGTTTTTTTATTTTCATTTTTCTATCCATATTCTAAGTATTTTACCAAGATTTTTAAATATATGAATTACTAAATATTTAATTTTTTAGAAAGTTATTTTTACAGAAGAGTCAAAATATAGAAGAAAAAACATGTATGAAAATATATATAAAAATTTAGAAAATATCATGGTTGTTTATTTAAAAAAGTAGTATAAAATTACTTTTTTGAACAATCCTCAATATTTATAGTAATTATATTTAATTCACATGGCCAAATCACCACCAAAGTTTAAAAGTAATATAAATAAAATTTAAAAAACCTATTTTATTGAGTTATAGTTGTACAAATTCTAAGTATGTCTTGATAATATTTATTGTTTTCATCTATAATCATTAGCTAATCTCAATGTCCTACAATATTTATTTTACTAATTAAAAAATATAAAATAATAATAATAATAAATACCTTAAATATTTGAATTATTAATATATTAAATCATCATTAAATCTATTGTTTAAGATTGAACTTAGACTTCTTTAGAAAAACATCAAATGATCTTAAGAGCTACAATTAATTAATAATGTGTTAAGCTTTATTTTGAAAAAAATAAATTTTTTTTTTGAAGATTTCAATATGAATACTAATATTTCAGTAGAAATATTTTATCTTCTTAGAATTAGAAATAAATAACATTCAATTCATCAATGTTTAATACAAGAAAATAATAGTTTTAACCAAAAAAACATTTGTAAGTAATAATAGATGAAGATATACTTGACTTTATTAGCTTTCAATGATTTTGCAAGTAAATTATTGATTTGTTATTACATTTTTAAAAATACCTCATAATGTTTTCTTACATTGATTGTTTAGAATGAAATTTTTGCTTGTAGAATCTTTTAGGAGGTAATATGAAAATATTAGGCATATTATCATGTTTCTTATGGACAAAGATGTTTTATTTTTTATTGGTTATTAGCTGTATTTGTAAGAATTATTTTTTTAGAAATTAGTTATATGATAGAATTCTATTTCTTAGTAGCATTAGATTTATAAATCAATTATTGCCTAACTTGTAGCATCCTTCTTTAAAAACAAATAACAAATATTATAACTCTACATAATATTCCTATTACTTATCAAAGATTAATAAATACCATATAAAATGAGATTAATACAAAATTTTCGTAGATGTCACTAAATCAAAATCTTTAGTTTTATACAAAAGATTTTTAAAATATATCTAAGTAAAGAATAATAATTAATCTTAATGAAATAGTTATATTTATAAATTTACATGTTTTAATTAATATAAAATAATTCCAAGGTTTATTTGGACATATTGCCTAAATTTTCTCTTTTCTTAAAGTAGTTGTCAAAAAAGTGTTTTATAACTATTAAAAAGAGTGTTTAGATACATATTTAACTTCTATTTGATATTACGTGTTTGATTGATATGTAGATGGTTGACACTAGATTATCACTAGTTGTCAACTTGTAGTTGCCATAAGTTGGTGGTAATACTACACAATCTTAAATGGCCTAAAAAGATGATTATTCTCAAATCAAATGGACCACGGTGGTAAGTTATTGTTAATGTTCTTGCACTAAAAAGTCCTTGTCAGTAGACTATAGACTTATGCTATAAGAGCTCAAAACTAAGGCTTACCTTTTGTTATTGTTAAGTCTTTTGAATCCTCCTTAGTAGGTGGTGAACTCAGCATGCATTTGCATCATTAAGCTTCTATCTCAGTAATATACTTCTACATATTTTCTTACAATAATATATATATATATATATATATATATAGAAACTTGTAATAGAGCTTATTACACTCTAATACAAAATCTTATTGATGCTTCTATGTAAATTTTAACAAATTTATATAACTTTTTAATATTATGAGAATACTTCTAATTTTATAATTTACAATATTCTTATTTTAAAAGACAAAAATAGTCAATTTTTCTTATTTAATTTTTTTAGTAGATAAATTTATGCAATAAAATTATCATTATTTATTAAATAATTGATTGATTAATAAAAGAGATTTTGACATTACCTTTTTAATTAAAGAATACAAACCATATCTTGTAAAATAATAACTTACGTTTTATACTAACTATGGTACATAGCATAAATTAAAAAAATCTTAGTTAAATAGAATAATTATTCAATATATTTTTATTTTTAGATAAGTTTAATTTTAGATGACTTTATTTTTATTATTCAAATTTTATTTTAAATTTTCATATAAATATTAATTAATTATCTAAAATCATAAATAAAAATAAATTTAAAGTAATTGAGAGAGAAAAGAGAGAGAGATGATGTACATATATTTTAGGTCATTTTTATTCTATTTATCTTGATTAATTAATATTATTTATTATTTAACAATATAAAATCTTTTTAAAGAAAAATAAAAATAAAACAAGACAAGTACATAAATCTATATAATATATTATAATTATATATATCTTATATAAAAAAGATAGTTATACAATTCTTTGATTATGTATTTGTTCTACAAAAATTCCACTAATACTCAAAAGATGTCATAATAAGTAGTATAGTTGCTACTTTGTTAGTTTTATTGGTATACAAAATTATTAAAGTATGATTATTGATAAGAATATTATGAATAAAATCTTTATACTTAAAAATAAATCAACCAAAAATAATTTAGAAGTAAAGATGAGATAAAAAAAATAGGTTTTTTTTTCTAAAAAGCATAAATAGTATTATTCTCTCCACTTTATGCTAGGCCTACCTCAATAAGTGAATTTCTCAATAAAGTTAGAAGTCATGTCATAAATTGCTGAAAGTATCTATTACAATTAAGAACCTCGAATTTTATTATATTTGTCATAATTGTTATAATCAAAATACAAGTTGCCATATCAAGGATCACAATATTTAAATCCACATCATGACTTCTTTTTTATTTTATACTTTTCTTCACCAAGCAAAATCCTTTCATAAAGTTTTCAAACCATAAAGCCTTTCAAAATACACTTTTAGGTCTGAAAACCCCTTCAGAAAAATCAGCAATTGTAATGTCAAAATAACATCACAGCGAGCTACACAAATCATACACAAGTATTGCATAAGCTGCAACAAATGAACACAATGTGTAAAGTGAATTCATGATTTTTTTCACTGTGCAAGAACTGTCATGTGCATCAAATACTTGTATCCAAATCAAATCACCATTTTGATTTGATTGAAGAGGTGATACTAACGTAAAACAGATTCATAACTCACTACGGTGCAAAGAATTCACGGCAAATTACGACCCTCGCGTGCTAAAACTTCAAGTCAACGCCAATTGTTTTCGGTGCAAAAGCAACATGCGTTGAAGCAGATCAGAGATTTAAACTGGAGAATCATCATCCCCCACAAGAATTAATTTCTGCCGACAGATGTTATGGCGACTTCATCAATCAGTTGCAGGATCCGCGACGACGACGACGACGTGGTGTGTGTGTGTGTGTGTGTTATTCTGATTTTGTCACCGTGAACGAGGTTCCTGAGCGGGGAGTTTCTTCCTCAGAAGATCCACTCTACCCTCGGCGATGGTGCGGCGGAGCTCTTGGTTCAACCACACTTCGTCCACAACGTCGTTCCCCGAGGACAGAATCGTGAACTTCTTCGGCACTAGCACAGCTGGTGCCCCCGCACCATCGTCACTCGTTTCACCCATCTTACCTTTCCCAGTCTGTTTCGGGATCCAGTCATGGCGCTCCAATCCCCCTTCCCCGAATCCATCACCCCTCTCCACCTTTTCGTATTTCCTCCGCATCAGCAACCGCGCTAACTTCTCGCACACATCCATTGCTACCGGGTTCGATGGAGCTGGTGTCGCTTTGTCCACCCAAGCTTGTCACGCACTCAAATCACCCACAAAATCAGATGAAGTGTTGCTTTTGAAGACTCGGATGCATCGGGAGTATCTGAGACTGGCCTGTTTGGTGGCTAGCAAATAAATAGCACCAGCTTCGTCACTAAGGTGAAGGTTGTAGTGAAGATGAAGAAGGGAAGAGGGCAGTGATTCTTACACAGAGACACAGAACAAGCAAAAGAGAGAGAGAAAGAGAGAGAGATCAGAGTAGTCTGAATCACATTTTTGCTTACAAAAATGCTTCTTCGTTGAGTGCGTGTGTGATTGTGTGTGAAAAGTTTTTGTCTGTGAATTCAACTGGGTTTCACGCGTGGACACCAGCGCCCTTTCAACAGCTCCTGAATTTCCATTGAAATTGCTTCTTCCATGTTGACATTTCTTTTTACTCACTTTTTTGTGCCTGTAAATGTAAATGTGTCTATTCTTATATTTTATTCGTAGATACTTGTGCTGATGTGCATAGAAAAAGTTGTTTATAGATAGTAAACTGGAGGTTTTTTGTAGGTTATGTAGGGCTTTCTTCAAGCTAACAATTTTTTTGATTTAGTCAATGAGAAGACTTCTTTGTCTTACACCTAAGCTTTCTTAATATATAGATTAAATTTTTATTAATTTAATATAATTAAAATTGTTGGAATGTGTGTAATTTTCCATTTAATTGGCAAGGCAAGCATTCCCAATGCCATGAGGGATGTTTACACAGAAGTCAAGTAGGAAAAAACTTTTTGTTTAATAATCTTTTATGTATTGGTCTGATTCTTGCTTCAATAACTTTGCAATGGTGAATTTATAAGAATTTGATAGGTAGAATTTTGCACCTATAAACTTCTTGGATTCTGTTGTACATATTTGACAATTTCACTACTTTTTTAAAAGTATTGTTGTACATATTTTTATTTCTTCTTTAGAAGATCATAAATCAATTAGATAAATACTTTATCTACTGAAATATTTTTAAAATGACAATGATGAGAATTTAAATATCAAATTTAGAATACTCACAAAATAAATAAATATATATATATATATATATATATATAACATACTTGTTGATTGGAGATTGCAACTATTAATATATTGATAAAGCTAATGAAATAGTGAGTTAAAAAATTATAGTTAGACAAAGACTATTATAAAAATAATTAATCTTTTTTATCAAAAAAAATGCATAGTAATTCTCTATCAATTATTAAATCATAAAATTTTAAATAAAAATATATTTTTTTTTAATTTTGTACTTAAATTTAAAAAATTGTAATTTTTTTATTAAGAATTAGAGTAAATTTTTCTGATTTTATAATTAAATTTTTTTTTGTTTTTGTATAAAGATTAAAATAACTATATAATTAATCTTATAACTTTTAAAAATCTCTTATTAAAAATATTCATACATCAAGTAAAATATATATAGTAAAAATAATTTATAAAATTATGTAATATTTATTTAATTCTTTAAAATAAATTTAAATTACTACATTTATATTATTATTTTCTAATTTAATTTTATATTTCATATTAAAATATAATAAGATGTGAAATTTTAAATTTATATTTTAAGATTAATTTATATAAAATATATTTTAACCTTAAGATATGTATTAAAAGTCTACATTAAGTTTTGTTTCAAACTTTATGTAAAAAGCCATTACAAAAATATTCTACAACTTAGATACTTTTGATTTTAGTCATCTAGTTCTTCAAAAGTCTTCTTGTTAACTAGTATTTATAGAGGCAAGACTAAAACCATCCTCATTTTGATCAAAATTATTTTTAAAAATTATATCTTGGTTAATAATTCTCTAATCTATCATACTTAACTATAGTCACTATAATATCTTCTTTCTTATAAATAGATATCAATTTTATAAAAAATTTATAATTAAACATAACTATTATTTATTTTATAAAATATAATTTTTAAATAAATATATTATTTTTTATTAATTGATTTTTTATTTTTAAATAAACGTATTATTTAATAATTCTAATTATAATAATATATCATTCATACTCAGATGTAAATTATTATTTTAGAATCAAGCAAATATTAATCTATAAATTTTTATTTTTAAAATTTTGGATTTAATATTTTTTTAAATAAACAAAAGTAGATGCAAAATATATGTAATTGCATGATAGTACTAGTTTTTAGATATCCAAGAACATAAATTTTGTGAAAAAATGTAAAAAATTAAAAATAATGAAAATAATAATAACTTATTAATTTCTTTTAATTTATTGTATTCATTTTTTTAAAAAAAATTATTACTTTTTATAAGAATCTTTTTTATTAATAAACAGAATGTAAAAACTTAACCATATTTTTTACAGATTCTAACATTTACACAACATCTAGCACGTGCAAAATTAGTTGTGAATAACAATATTGTTGCAAAATTACTTAAAAACTAAAATGTGTATTTCAAAAAGTTATTATTTTATAATTTGTTACCATCCAATTATATATTATTTATTTAAATCTGTAGATTAATTGAGTCATTTAAATACTAGAAATCATATTCTTTAAAAGCACTCAAACTAAATTAAAAAGCATTTGTTATGCAATCTGTATTAACTCTCTTCTAAAAAATGTAATCTTTTTAAGAAGATTAGTATAAAAGATTTAGACTTTACATGTTTTTTTCTTTAATATAAAAATAAAAATAAAATCAATAAAAAAATATTTCATTTCATTTTCTAAATTTATTTTCTTAAAAAATAAATCAATTATCAATTATGTAATACATACATAATTTATAAAGCATGAGTCTTGTTCCATGATTGTAATTGCTTGTCACATTTCTTATTTCAACATTTTATATCCTGAACATGCCAAAATATTCCTCCATTTAAATGATATTTTTAAGCTACTTTTTTTACTTTAATTTACTCCAACAATTTTGTAGTAATGTCAAAAATGAAATTTGCAAGTATTCTTAATTTTTTACTTATTTTTCCAAGAAGATTTTTTTCATAGATATGAAGGATCTCAAAACTTTCAGAAAGATTCAAGTTTTGGAAAGTAGATTTGCAAAATTTTGACGCTCAGTTAGAGTAAATAAAGAAAACCTTACAGATATATAGTTAAACCTCAACAAACAAGGCAAGAATGCCAAACTTTGATACCACCTGAGAAAATACGGAGTATGATGTTAAAGAATAGGAAGTCAATTTTTCATTTCCTTTTTATTTCTTATCATTATTTATTTATTTATTTCGAATTATTAAATTCACTTAATACTTAGTAATATTTCAAGTCCAAAATCTAGTGACACAGACTTTCTACTTCAATAGAAATGTGAATAATTTCAACAATTTGATGAGCCACCCAACTACGAGTTAACAACCAAAAATACTCTGTCAATCATCCACATTAAAATACACATCACCAAATAGTGTTCAATAAGATTCCCACACATATCAGTAAAATAACATCTCATCAAATGTTCCCAGTGTGTGTTTTAGACTTGTAACATCAAACACACACTTTACTCTCCTACCCAAGAAGCTCCACCACTTCAACAATTCCTAAAATACCTTCAAAACAATAACTCACGAACATCTCAAAACCTCAAAAACACTCCAAACCCAAACTCAAGCTCAAATGAGTATTCTCAAATCAAATTAAACCAACATGTCACCACAACAGCAGTTCACCATACTCTCGAAGTATGTCCTCAAAGGCTGAGAGAACAAAAAATACAAAAAACAGTAAAATAAACAGTAAAATAAAAAGAGCTGAGAGTACACATACACACAAAGACTTACTAGGAGCCCATGTTGTAGAATACTACTCCTGAAACTGTTAGAAAAGTTATTTGTGCAGTGACCCTACAAGCGCCTTACAGTACAAAAGGTGTTTAAGTGAGCAACAAACAGGCTTCGCATTAATGAGGTGTGTGGAATGGCAAGCAGAGTGTGTGCGCTGTTTTGGTTCAATACCCATCTTCACATGTTTATCGAGAACTGTGCCGGGATTTCTAACCTAGTGATGACCTATGTCGATTCAATCTTTTACTAATTATTTTTGTTTTCTTTTTTGTTTTTTGTTTCTGTATATATATATATATATATATATATATATATGTAATGAGACAAGAAGTTCCAATAAATGATAGGCTCACCCATATAAAAAAGTTTCAACTAAGTACTAACAATAACAACAATAACAATATATAATACCCAAAAAGCAGACTTTTTCTAAAAACTTGAGAAACAAAGTGTTAAATTCAACACGGTTTTGTTATGCTCCCAACAAAGTACCCATTTATCATTCAACAATTTCAAGCCATTCCAGAGAAAAGCATCACAAAGCTCCACTCCATTCAGATATCAACAATATTCCCATTAGAACCATTTTAGTTGCTACAATACAGGAATCACACGGAGCTACAGAGAATGCGTTCACAATGAACTTCCACTGCATGGATGGACATCGACAACATCTGCAAAACCGATCACAGATCCTGCTTGGTCTTGCCGATTCTCGATCCACCCAGTTTTTATCTATAAAGCTGTGAAACGGATCTTGGACATGTGGGTTCGATGCAGACGTGAGAAAATCAGGTAAATGAGTATCGGTCGGATTCGTAAGCTAGAAACCAGGTGATCGGAGACCTGGACCTTCAGTCCACTAGACAATCCAGGTTTGCAAGCTGCCATCCATCAGCTTGTCTGTATCTTCATAGTTTTGAACAATCCACGACGACTTGCTACTCTGCAACTCTTCGAACTGCAGGGTCGACATTGATGGTGAAGTACCGCACTTGCACGAACAAATTAAGAATCCTTGAACATCTTGCTAGACTTATTAACGTCGGTGGACCAGTCACGACGATTAGCTGCTTGCTCGAGAGTTATAACTCCTGGTGGATCTCGAACTGTCATCTGTGATAGGTTGTGGATCAAATCTCAGATTCGAGATTTTTGTGGTTTTTGTTGGTTTTTTGTTTGTTTGTTTGTTTGTTTGTTTGTTTTTTTTTTTTTTTTTTTGGGTAACCTTCTGCCTGTGTGAGGTGAAGACCAAAGCAGCTTGTTCCTGTTTAAATCCGCCCTCGTTCGTCCGGCTTCAAATCCGCATCAATTTGGACGTACATGGTCGTTGAATCAACACTCGTGTTTAGCCGGACCGTTTCGATCTCGAAGCTCTTCAACTTCTTCGGCGTCCTTAGTGTTGCTGTGCGAGGATTCTCCAGGTCCTCTCTTATCATGGAACTGTCTTCCATGATGGGACGGTCGGGTGGTGATGTTGATCCGTGGTCAGGGGTGTGGTCGTTCAAGGAATGCTCCTCAGAGCTTCTCTTGTGACTCAGGTTGAAAAAGCCTGACGTGTGCGCCTTGAGTCTTTTTTTGGCATCCTTGTGCCAGGTTTGTAGGGCTCGACCGACACGGGTAGGCAAGACGGCCTGCTTGTAGTTGCTACCCATCTGAGAAACTAGCGTGAACAGTGGCAATGTGCTGAGGCTACAGAAGAGCTGCACCGCTAACCTGCATACATGGTGCACCGAATAAGTTGCCGTTTTCTGTGGATGTACTCAGCAAATAGTCGAATGGGACCACAACATAGTAAATCTATCCTCCGAATGGGCCTCAGAATAAGGAAACAAAATGCCACAAAGTTGTCGGTGACAGAACGGTACCCCAGTGAAAGGCGGATATACACCATCGACTTGTTCTTCTCCAAAAGGCATGAGTGCCATCCAAATGTCCACTGCAATGACCTCAAGGTTAGTTTCTTTCGGCACAACCCATTAGGAAGGGAATGCAACTTAAATCCATCAGTACAGTACACTATGGATGTGAATGTTTATAGCATTCACAAATCCTGGAAAGAGGGAATGACTATGATGCAGCCAGCTCTTACCAGGTACCAAAGAAAAGTCGCCAACTCAAACGCATTCTGGAAAAGGACGAGGTGCAAAACGGACAGGAGTAGCTGGGGACTTTTGAACCAGAACAGCTCATCTCGAGGTCTCAGCAGTGTACCGACATATGCGGCAGGCGCATGTGCGGCCTCCAACGCTAAAGTAGCAACCACGTACTGGAGCTTGGCCCCAATGACAAGAACCAACTGCTCAATCCAAGGTGAAAGAATTAGATGACAATGTGGTCACTATTGATATTCTCTGTCTCCACTACTTCGAAGTCAAGGTTGTAAACAATGGAAATCAAAACCATACACACAATAATGTCTCCAAAACTATCAAATGCAACAGTAGACATACTATTGTGAGTATGTTCAACCTAATATTCTAGGTGGAGTGACAAGGGTGTGCTTACAATGATTGGAATGAACGACGACCAGAAATACAAGTATACTCCGTGCACGTTGAAAAGCAAGAAAAGGATGACGAACGCCCACAACTTGGCGCTGCAAAAATGCCAAAACATCACCAATATGATGAGTGTTGTAAAGTTATAAAAATTGCAAGGGGTAGTTGTTTATAAATAAAAATAAAAAACGCAGGGTTGCCTTCACCTCAGTAATATTCAAGAACCAATCATCTCTACAACATTACCTTATTCCAACAATTTTTTGAAATTCGTCCTCCATAGACCGGATCATGTAGGCATCAAAGTCGTAGTCATCTGATAGGCGATGAGTCTGCAACGCAAAATTGATTGATTGATTATAGCTTCTTCTCTCAATTAGCCAACATCATTCAAATTGGCAGCTAATTTCAAAATGCACTTGAAAGTGGCAAGCATTGGAAGAGGAAAGTTGACAACACTCACGGTTGTAAAGCTTTGACGAAGAGTGATGTAGTCGGCACGTGGAATGTAGATTTGCTGGAAGAAGCAGATCTGAACACACAACAACACTAAGTAGGTTGGTTTGGTCTTGTAACCAGAAACTGAACTCTTAGCCTGTACCCAACTACAAAACCCTCTCAAGAGGTTCTAGATTGTGAAATAACTCACCACCCATACAAAGAGAAAGTTGGTGCTGCAGCAAGCGGCGGTGTGGTACTTTTGAAACGACGATTTACGCGTGAAAGTTATGCTGTTTGCGATATCTGCACCAGCACAATTTCAGAAAGAAATGAATTTGTTCGCTAGAGCTAAACAATCAACAGCTATCATGAAGCTCAGTTTCTAAATTCCTACATTAGCTGTACTTGAGGTCTCGGAGTCAGTCACCTTCCAAATTCACCACGTGAGCAGCATCCTGTGCTTCTCTCTCCCACCTCCTCCAACTGCGTACCTGCAAGGCTCTCATCGACGAGATCACTGAGCTCACGTTGCAGAAAAAGTTTTCCAGAAACTAAGCTAACATGAATCATTGTTGACCACAAAAAAATTGAATTGAATTGTACTAAATTAAATTTGAAAAAACTAGGTCGTTTCTGTGTCACTCGCACCTTCATGAGAGCGAGAAGCATGGTGAGGCAAGAATACCCCACATGAACACCAGCAAGAATGAATATGAAAATGTGCAGCTGATGAAGACTCGTTTCTGTAATGAAGGGCTCTTGACCCTATCACCAACAAAGAGAATGGATTAGTTGTTAGAAAAGAATACTTTATCTGTAAGAAAGCATCAACCAATGAGGGCGAAACGATTTGGTTACACGCACCCAAAACTTAAACTAAGGGAACTAGCTCAAAACGAGAAACTAAACCTCTTCAACAAGAAATTTCTCGCATGGAATTGGTGTGCGGAGACAAGAATTGGAAGGTCAAGGAATGTGTATGCACACCGGCGGACAGCCACCAATTCCTTTCTCTGCCAAAAGGCGACGTGCGTGTCCTTTGTCCACATTCGGTCGGTCGCCAATGTGGCATGGAGTCCAATTATTATACAGTGAGGAGCTGATACAGATTTTAGTGACTTGGCCCTGAAGCAGGGCCATCGCTAAGGAGATGAATCCCACCAGCATCAGCTCTGACAAAATGGTGCAAATGCGGCATGAGTACTTCTCCCTCAGCAACAAATAGAATGCTCATAGTGATACAAATTAAAGTCGAGGCACACTGTGTCGACTACAGCAACGTGCTCCCTAGTAGTCCAGAATCTAGGGGGCGAGAAAGCACTGTTTCCACTACTTGAAAAGCGAAGAGTTGCTTCTGAAGGACTCACCATCTTTTATCTTCATAAAGGCCGAAAATAGAGCCTTCCGTTTGGTTTTAGTCAAGAACTGCAATTACAAAGTAACACAAACCGTTAAGGAAGCTTTTTTAGGTTACAGCGCAGAGGAACATTACTCGAGTTTTTCTATGAGAAAAATGCATGAATCAGCTGTATTTTCGGAAGACGTCCAGTGGGATGTATGTGGAGATTTAGAGGCTCGTACATGACCGAGCCGATGCAACAGGCGCTCCACAATGTAAGAGATGACCACGAAGACAGTGGCCACAGCCGCGAGCGCCCAAGTTGGCGAGAATTCCAGCGACCTCTCACTCGCTTCTGCTGACACCATTTTGACAGCTCCTGTTCAAACCCACTCTCTGGCTCTTCTCTCTGCACCACTGTCGGTATTCCCCCAAACGCGAACTCCACACTCGTCCGACACCACAAAGAGGAAAAAAAAAACACTACAACATCCCTCTTACATAGGCAATGGAAACGGCTCTTCGAGGCCAAAAAAACGACCCCAGCTCAGCCCAAGAGAACACAGCCGCCCCTAAAAATCCGCTGTGCACAGTTACAACGTTACTAATCAGCTCACACACTTCCAGCCTCACTCCATCGTTTCCAACCGCAAAGCTACGATTTTGATTACTTATGCAGCTCCAGCTCTCACTCTCTCTACCTCTGTCTCTCGCTCTCTCTCTCTCTCTCTCTCTCTCGTAGACCAACCACTGTGATGATCATCAGATCACTACTCCGCATGTCTCTTGGCCGGACGCTGAACGCACCAACCCCTCGTTCTGAGCTACAGCTTCATTTGCCACGACGCAGGACATTAGAAGCGCGTGGACTCGAATCTCCCAGTACGAATACCGACCATAAGCGAAGCCCGTACTACCATAAGCCCCGGCGAACGCAACCAATTTCCTCACATACGCTGCAGCGTCACCAGCAGGAACAACTGCAACATCCAGTACACATCATCCCACAGAAAGACGTTAAACAAATCGTCAGAATCGTTACGGATACTGGCTAGCCTCAGGATACGGTGTGGGCAGGCGGCATCGCGGCTAATAAGATAACCCTAAGCCTGAGCCATGGAGCTGTATTGCGAGGCCCGAGGAGAAGCTGTGCAAGGAGCTGAACTACTAGCCCAGAGCATGCACCCCCTCTCACACAGTACAAGATGACTCATCCTAAAAATTATCATACTGCAGTTGATTCCACTGTACGTCTACTACTACATGACCTCATTCCTCACTTGTCACATAGTGGTTGAGATTATTGGTATGATTCCCCTGCTTTCTCTAAGACTCTGAGGTGCCCCATTCCATTTGTTTTATATCACAATTTTGTCAAACTTAGAAGGTTCTGTTGGATTTCCAGTACAATTGATTGGTAATGACCTTTGAAATGGGGGACGCCGAGGCTTCTGACCACTTGTTTTCAAGATCCACATATTTACTGATATTAGTAGTATGATTGGTTTTAAGTTGGTTGCAATTTTATTTAAGTTCATTTATCAGCGTTTGGTTTACAGAATACAGAGTTAAAGTCAAATAAAGTCGGGTTTAAATATTGTTGATATAAATAATTAAATTAAATTTAAAAATAATTAATTTAAATAATCCATTATTTCTAAATAATCAACATCAATACAAATTATTGAAGTAATAAAATTTAGACCAATAAAAGAAGAAAATAAAACAACTAGATGTTCAATGCATAATGAATCTTTAGAATATTAACATAGTATACCTAAAAAAAACCTCCACTAATTTAAATAACAATCTATATGATTGCCATGTTGGTGAGGAAAAATATCCAAGACACTTATCTCAATTTGTAATCCTGTGTAATTTTCAAATATATATGACTAAATGAAATATATGTATATATATATATATATAAGCATACATACATGATTTCCTCCTTGTATACAAATCTTTCAGAGATACTGTATTACCGACAGTTTCAATGTTTACAATACTGATTTCCTAGAGATTGTACTCGACAGCGGTACTCATTCACATCACAAGGTGAAGAAACAAGGTGATGAATAAAGTTGAGCAACATTTAGGAAAACGCTGCAACAGTGCCAAAAAGGCGGTAGATTTAGGTCAAAAGAATCCGAGGGGGTGGGGAATTTGGTCAACAGGACGAGATTGAAGGGCCAAAGTGAGATCCCAAGCCAACAGAGATGGTGACTCCCATGTTTTCCTCACCCCTTGCGGACCTGGCATAGCCGCCATGCCAGCTCATCCTCCTCCCTTATTGCCCGGCGCCTTCTCCGCAATGGGCAAACACAGGACCAATTTTTTCTCCTTCTAGGTCGCCACGTCAGCGGAGCCCCCCCCCTCTAATTCTTCTTCTCGTTGTCCACCGTGGCGGCCTTCACTAACCGCGTGGTAGGTACTGGTCCTTGGGTAGCAGGGACATCCACCCCCCTCCCTCGCACCCGTTGTTTCGCCCACGGCAACCGGTCCAGGATATTGATGTGAAACCGTGCGTTTGTCAAAAGGAAGGTCAAAAGGCCACGGCTACCGGTCCAGGGGAGTGTTAGTCAAAAGGAGAGGTTACAATAAAAGATATAAGTAAAATCATGTTTTCTGGCTAATATTTATAAAATCATCAAAAAATAATATAATAAAAATACAAATTTGGAACACACACAAACACACACACACACACATATATATATATCTTAAAAGAATTCTATAAACTTACAATTAGTCCATATATATATATATATATTGCAGATATGACTTGTTTACTAATAGATGTACTATACATATATATATATATATATATATATCTTAAAAGAATTCTATAAACTTACAATTAGTGCATATATATATATATATATATATTGCAGATATGACTTGTTTACTAATAGATGTACTATACATATATATATATATATATATATATATATCTTAAAAGAATTCTATAAACTTACAATTAGTGCATATATATATATATATATATATATATTGCAGATATGACTTGTTTACTAATAGATGTACTATACATATATATATATATATATATATATCTTAAAAGAATTCTATAAACTTACAATTAGTGCATATATATATATTTTGCAGATATGACTTGTTTACTAATAGATGTACTATACAAGATTACTATAAAAAATAATTTTTACAATAATAATTAAAGGATTATCAACCTTGTTTTATATATATATATATATATATATATATAGAATATGAAAAATCAATCAAATTAATCTTATAAAATTACAATTTAAGCAACGTTAATTTGATTATTGGTAAATTTTGAATCCATTTGTTGCAATTTTTCAATAGTGTTGTCTTTAAATTTCAAATTTAATGTTATAAGTTTTGAAAAAATCTTAAAAATTAAACCAATATTAGACATGTATAGATATTCAAATGATTCAAATTATACACATTCTTTAATCATGATAATTATATTTTATATTTTATTTTATATTATTCATACTTGCAAAATAACAAATAAGATGTATTTATATTAAACAATGTCTATGTAAGAAACTTCAAAGACTTCTAAAAATTCATTAAATTAATTGTTTGAATAGTTATATGCCATAAATTACTTTTGATTTTCTGCACTGTACAAAATATACTTAATTTATTCTAGCATAATTAACTTTATTTATTTATTGCAATTATATTATAATTTTTTATTATATAATATTAGACATGTATTTTATGTATATATATATATATATATATATATATGGTTATTTTTTTATAGACTTCTACTAAAATTATTAATATAATTACAAAATATAATGCATTAACTTTTTGAATAATTTTTTTTAAAACATAGATAATTGATACAACATTATACAATATAACAATATAAAACATTATTGTATTGTGGATTTAGGACTCTTTTAATCTCACCTGTATTGATAGAAGTAATACTTTTAAATATATACTATTGTAGAATAGCTGCATTTTATAAAAATTATTTTTTATACACCAAATCAATATAAGTGTAGAAATATTTTCTACTTTATAATTGAAATATCCTTCAAAAGATAATTCTTTAAAAAATAATATTTTATAGTAAATAATAAAAAATTAAAACTAAATTTTATCCAATAGAATTAAATATATGTTTTTAAGATATTACAATGATTGTTAATAGTGATATAATAATGTAAAGAACTATGAGTTAGTCTTCTTATGGTATACTTTGTATTTTTTCTGCTTAATATATGGAATTAAGCAATATTGTCTACTATTAATCTATCTTCTCTTAGAAATTTTAAGAAATGAGCAAGAAATAGGCAAGTAAGCACTATTTTGTAACTCTTCCTTAGCTTGCAAAGAATAAAAATGTCTCAAAAACAAATTCTATGTCTTATTTGGTGGATGTTTGGAATATATTATAAACAATCTTTGAAGGATTTATAGCCCACAATGCTTAGCTTAATAGAACTTAAATTACATGTATTTTGGTTTAAATCTTAACAAAATTGATATAAATAAATAAATAAACATATAAATAGATTTAAGTTTACAAAAATATTTTAAAATAAAAATATATTTAATTTAGTCTTAGAATAGTTTCTATTACAAATAAGTATAAATTAGTAGAAGTTATAATGCTTACTTAATAGAATATTATATAGAAATATAGCTTTAAAAAACCTTTAATTTTATCCTTTATCATAATTATTTTTTGCTTCTAAATTTTTAAACATGAAATTAAAATTTTAAAAATAAAATCAATTGTCACTTGCTATAATTTTAAATTTGTTAATAATAAATTAATAAAATAAGAAATATCATAATTTAAATTATACTTTTGGTAGTAAAGTATTACATACTTATTATACTAACATATTTTATAGAAAATAATTATAAAAACAAATGGAGAAATTAGTTTTTAAATATCCTTTTTTGGCAATTAATGAATTAATCAAATTCTAAAAAAGTTTTCGTCAGACCATTTTGTACAAACTAATATATACCATGCATTCCTGTTACATGTATTAGTTATTTCAAAACATAATTATAATCTTACATTTTTATTTGTTAAAGATTAAGATCAAGCTATGGAAATGTTTTGGTGTTTATTTCTGGCATTAAAATAAGAAAATATTATAAGAAAATAAATTATCTAGTATAACATTCTTGTATTAACCTTGCCATGGTAATACCTTGCCATGCCAAGGTATTACCAGTACAAAGTTCGAAGTTCTTTTAAAATCTTATATTTCTAATGTATATATTTATAAATATTAAAATATTTTAGAATAAATTTTAAATAGATCATAAAGATAGATCAAGATTTTAAATTTATATATATATATATATATATATATATATATATGTGTGTGTGTGTGTGTGTGTGTGTGTGTGTATTTATGCATTACTAAAATATTAATGAAATGATAATTTTGTCTTGAAGAGAATTGGTTTTTAAATTATATGGTGATTCTTACAAATTTTATCTTGAATAAATGAGTTGAACTTTTCTTGTTTTAATAAAAACTTAATCTTGCCACCAGTTCTTTTTATAAACCATATCTATATTTATATATATATATATATATATATATATATGAAAAGTCTTTCTTCAAATTGATGAACTAAATATGAGTAAAAATATTTATTACAGAAAATTGATACAATATCAAAGTGGACTTTTGTTGAAAAAAATTATAATATTATTTTTCAGAGATTGCATATTATCCAAAATTTCAAGTAAATGCACTGTAACATTTTTGTGTCAATTCATATTTTTATACAATCTTACTATAATAATAATAATAATAATAATAATAGTAATAATAATAGTAGTAGTAGAGATAGAGTTGTTATACTCTATACAAAAAGAAACTCGAATAGTTGAAATGAGGGATTTTAAATATGGTAATTTAGAGTAGAAATAATATACAGATTTTAAGATAGAATTACTTTCGTATAGAAAGAAGCAAATATTGTCAATACATGGTATTTGTAATAGGCTATTTGTGTGCAAGCATTATTGGTATGTGTATATAGATAAAAAAGAGTAGGTGAGGAGAAAATGGGTATAAAACTCTTGGAAGTATAGTGTGAAAGAAACAATTATCAGCAATACAATACTTGTAGCATGCTATTGTTATGCAATCATTGTTGATTGAATCTACCAGGGTAGTCCAAGAATGTTAGTTTGAAATAACTAGCCAATGTCGAAGTAACAGTTGAT